TAGTCCGTGCCTTATCTCTTCATTCCTTTCACATGGATTTTCAAAGAGCAACACTATTTAATTTTGCGTGAGATCCACTTTGTAAATTACCCTTTTATATATTGTGCTTTTGGTGTCAGGACTGAGCTCTTTTGGTCCAATCCTAGATTCTGAAGATTTTCTACATAATTACATAATTTTTTCTAATAATTTTGTAGGGTTATATTTTAGATTGTGATCCATTTGAGTTAATTCTTACATAAGATGTAAAATTTAAGTTGGAGTTCCTTTTTTTGGCCTGTGGATGTCTAGTTCATCATTAACCATTTATTGAGAAGACTATTACCCTCATTGAATTATTTTGCACCTTTATCAAAAATCTGTTGGGTATATTTGGATGAGTCTATTTCTGGGTTCTCTGTTCTAGTCCATTGATCTGGGTATCTTTCCTTAACTGATACTCTGCCTTCATACTGTAGCTTATTTATTGAATACTCACTATCTGCTACAGTACATAGGCATTATTCTAGATGGTTGTGAATAAATAAAGATTCCTGTTCTGGGTATCTTCTATTCTTGTGGGATTAAAAAAGACAATAAGCAAAGCAAAATTATGTAATTTTGAAGGTTAAAGTGATGAGGAAAGAAAGTAGAACAGGGAGAAGTGGAATCTGGAGAGGCAGACTGCCATAGGTAGTAAGAATAAACATTGTGATACTTGAACAGAGACTTGAAGAGTATTGGGAAGTGAGCAAAGCAGTTATCTAAAAGAAGAATGTTCTAGGGAGAAAGAACAACCATTATGCCATGTTTGAGAAAATGATGGATACCAGTGCATAGCTGGAGCAGAATGAAGTCTAGGGGTAGAAAAATAGCAGCTTAGGTCAGAGAAGGAATTGAGATCCTATCATTATAAGGTCTTATGTCAGTTTTCTCTGGATGTAGTGACAAAGAAAAACTCTTACTGAACTCAGCCTATGTCACTAACCTGCAGACTTTGTAAACTAATTCTTATTTTAAGCTATTGAGTTTGGGATAATTAGTTACACACTATTATTGTTATGTGAGAATAAAAGTACACAACCAGGTCTTTTTTTCACCCCAGATAACATATGGAAAACTTACCTTTTTTTTTTTTTTTTTTTTTTTTACAAAAAGAAATTTTTTTTTTTTGTCTTTTTTTGCTTAGGCTTTATTTTTTTTTTTTATAATGAATTTTATTTTTATATTCCCCATACAATTGCAACCCCCCCATTCTGACCCCAATCCCTCCCCTCCCGCCCCCCACCCCCCAAAAAGTGTCTCTGGTTCATAGTTTTTTGTTGATTTTGATTTTCACTTTCTTATAGTTATTCATTTTCCTGGTCCCTTATTTAAGTTTTCTAGATTCCTGCTATGAGTGAGACCATCCGGTATTTTTCTTTTTCTTTTTGGCTTATTTCACTGAGCATGATCCCTTCCAGTGCCATCCATGTTGCTGCAAATTGCATGTGTTTATCTTTTTTGAATGCTGAGTAATATTCCATGGTATATATGTACCACATCTTCTTGATCCAGTCATCTATTTTTGGGCATTTGGGCTGTTTCCAAAGCTTAGCTATTGTAAACAGTGCTGCTATAAACATAGGTGTGCAGGTGCTCTTTGGAATTGATGTTTCTGTGTCCTTTGGGTAAATACCTAGGAGTGGAATTGCTGGATCATATGGAAGCTCTATGTTTAGTAGGTCAAGAAATCTCCACACAGCTCTCCATAGTGGTTGGACCAGTTTGCACTCCCACCAACAGTGCAGGAGAGTTCCTTTTTCTCCACAACCTCACCAACATTTGTTGTTGCTAGTTTTTTTAATATGTGCCATTCTCACTGGTGTAAGATGGTATCTCATGGTAGTTTTGATTTGCATTTCCCTGATTACAAGTGATGTTGAACATTTTTTCATATGCCTGTTGGCCATTTGCATTTCCTCTTCAGAGAAGTTTCTTTTTAGCTCTTCTGCCCATTTTTTGACTGGGTTATTTTCTTTGTTGTTGTTGAGTCTCATCAGCTCTTTGCAGATTTTTGTGATCAGTCCTTTATTGTTAGTGTTGGGTGCAAAAATGTTCTCCCAGTCAGTGGGGTTTCTCTTTGTTTTTGTTATTGTCTCTTTCGCTGTGCAGAAGCTCTTTAATTTGATGTAGTCCCAGCTGTTTATCTTTGCCTTCACTATCACTGCTTTGGGTGATGTATCTGTAAAGATGTCTTTGATGTGCAAATCACATAGTGTTTCGCCTATATTTCCTTCTATATATTTTATGGTTTCAGGTCTTATGTCTAGTTCTTTAATCCATTTTGAGTTGATTTTTGTGTATGGTGTGAGGTAGTGGTCAAGCTTCATTCTTTTGCATGTAGCAACCCAGTTTTCCCAGCACCATTTATTGAACAAACTTTCTTTGCTCCAATGGATAGTCTTTGCTCCTTTGTCAAAGATTAGTTGACCATAAATCTGTGGGTTTATCTCTGGATTTTCTATTCGATTCCATTGGTCTGTATGTCTGTTCTTGTTCCAATACCATGCAGTTTTGATGATTATGGCTTTTAAACTTACCTTTTTTTTTAAGGTACACAGTTGAGTTTTAACATGTGTGTTAATTCTTGTAATGTTACGAAGTGCCAGCATGGTCAGTTCATAGAATATTTCCATCACCCCCAAAAATTCCCATCACCCTCATGCTGCTTCTTTGTTCTTAGCAGCCTTTTTTTTTTCCCCTATTAGTTTTGCCTTTGGAATTTATAAACATATGAGACTGACTTCTTTCACTCAGCATGGCTTTGAGATTCATCTCTGTTGTTGTATGTATCAATTATTAGTTCCTTTATACTCTAGAGTAGATTCCACTGTTTGATTGCACTAGTTTATACTTTCCATTAAAGGACATGTGGATGGTTTTCACTTTAGGGCATTTGTAGCCACTGTTAAACATCCATGTACAGGGTTTATGTATGCAGATGAAGTTTCTCTTCTGTGGGTTAAATTTTTTGGAATAGAATTGCTGTGTCATAAGCAAAATGTATGTTTAACTTTATAAGTTTATTTTAACTTTTCAGAATGACTGTAGTATTTTGCATTCCTATCAGCAGTGTTGGGATTTCCCCCCCTTTTTGGCCATGCTCAAGATGTGTGTGTATTGTCATCTCATTGTGGTTTTAATTTGCATTTCCTTGATGACTAATATAATAGTATTATTTATGTACTCAGTTAACATTTATATACCATTTATATATTCTCTTTGATGAAATATCTGTTCAAATCTTTTGCCCACTTTTTTAAATTCAGTTTTCTTGTTGTTGAGTTTTGAGAGTTTTTTATGTGTTTTGGATTAAAATCCTTTGCCTAGTATGTGATTTGTGAACATTTTCTCCTAGTCTATAATTTGAGTTTCTTTCTCTTAACAGTGTCTTTCTCATAGCAAACATTTTAAAATTTGATAAAGTGATTTTTATCAGTATTTTCTTTTATCAATATTTTCATCATCATGGTTAAGAACTTTTTGCCTAATGCAAGGTCATGAAAATTTGTCCCGCTTTTTCCTTTTAACAGTTTTATATTTTACACATAGATATATGATTCATCCTGATTTCATTTTTTAATAAGATGGGAGATATAGCTTGTGATTAATTTCTTGCATCTGGATGTCTAGGTATTCCCATAGCATTTGTTGAAAAAGTTGTCCTTTATACACTGAACCGCCTTTTTTGCCTTTTTCAAAAATCAATTGGCCATGTTTATGTGGATATATATCTAGGGCCTCTGTTATATTTCATTGGTATGTTGGTCCTTTTGACAATACCATATTGTCCTGATTATTATATCTTTATATTAAGTCTTAAAATCAAGTGGCATGAGTCCTTCAACTTTATTCTTTTTTTTTATGCATTTTTTTTATAGAGGCATGTTTTATTTATTTGTTTGTTTGTTTGTTTGCTTATACATGCACTGGGTACAGTCAGAAGCGTGGGAGGGTGAGAGAATTCACCAGAGCCAGAGCGAGGAGCAGAGCAGGCAGAAGGATCGAAGTACACTGCTGAGGGGAGCAGAGGGCGGCAGGAGAGGTCTGCGCGCCATGTGGGACCCTCCTCCGGTGGCCGGGGAGCAGCTGGGGATCGAACTGGCACCGCAGAGGCTGCGGGCAGCTTCGCAACCCAGCGCTCAACTGCTCTGACACCGGGGAGGCCCAACTTTATTCTTTCTTTTAAAACTATATTGGCTTCTCTAGTCTTTGGCCTTTTTCATACACCTTTTAGAGACTGCTTGTCTATGTCTACAAAAACTGCTGGAGTATTGACTGAAATTACTTTAAAACTAAAGGTCATTTTAGGAAGAATTGACAACTGTTAACATGGTAGGTCTTCCTTCATACCTTTTATCAGTGTTTTATTTTTCAGTATATAGATTATGGACATATTTTATTAGATTTACATGTAAGAATTTGATTTTTTAAACATTTATATGTGGCATAATTTTTGTTTCTAATTGTTGTTAGTATATAGCTATTTAATTGATTTTTGCATGTTGACTTTGTACCCTGCTACCTTGATAAACTCATTTAATAGTTCTAGGGTACAACCAGGTTATTACAAGAAATTGCAAAATGAGAATAAATTTACATTCATTTTCGCTGTTTTAGTTGAGTTATCAAAACTGACATCTTGAAGTGAAATATTCTCCATTTTTCCTCTAGCCATACACACACACACACACACACACACACACACACATTTTTAAGTAGTTTTACTAGTAGTTAAAAATTTGTATGACCTGGTGATGGGGAGGCATCAACCAAAAAAGACAAACTTTAAAGAGAGTCTAATTCTTCTTTTTGTATTTAAATAATGGTAGTGCTGTCTAATTTGCTGAAAAGTTTTATTTACAATAATGTAATCAGGAATATGAACAGAAATATTCAGTATAGGTAATTTTGTAACTTTTTCTGATGATATATTTTTTACTTTGACTAATTGTACTTCTTTTTCTCTTTCTGTTTAGGTATTGGAAGAATTGCTGCTACATCTTTAGGAAATTTAACTAGTCATGGCTCTGAAGATTTACCCCTTCCTCCTGGTTGGTCTGTGGACTGGACAATGAGAGGAAGAAAATATTATATAGATCATAACACAAATACAACTCATTGGAGCCATCCTCTTGAGCGAGAAGGACTTCCTCCAGGATGGGAGCGAGTTGAATCATCAGAATTTGGAACCTATTATGTAGATCACACAAATAAGAAGGCTCAATATAGGCATCCCTGTGCTCCTAGGTAAAGTATTGATTTTATTTTTAACTTTTTGTTTTGACATTTCTATATAGTGTTAGAATTTAAACTCTTACTTTCATCAAAAAGAAAGGCATCGTGAAGTTCATATTTGAAAGCTTTAGTCTTCAAAGTTTATGACATACCCCTTTAGACTTATGTTTAGTAACAAATGATTTTTATAAATTAAAAAAACCTTTTTAACAGCCTCAAAATCAGCATCATTGTTCCTGTGATCATATACTATTTTAATATACCAGAATTTTTTTCTTGTAAAAACATAATATAACCTAACATAATATAGATAGCCAGAAATTGAAATAAATAAAAAGCCTGTTTCTTTACATTTAAATTCCTACAGATAATACAAACCTACCTTCTAATATGTTAAGATACATTTGAATTGCAAGATCTTGCTGTCTTTATTCACTTTCAGACATGATTTTATGTTCCATTTCTTACCGTTGCCAGGCAAGTGAAAATTGGAATTATACATAATATAGAAGATCTGTTTAATAAATAAAAGGGGTGTTTCTTTGAGCTATTTTGATTGGTTTTAGGATTATCAGTAGGCCTCATTTGTGGCCAAACTTCTAATCTTGTGAATACTATACCCAGTTGTCACTTGTGACTGTTAACATTTGAAATGTGATTAATCCAAATTGAGATTATTGTAAAACACACACTAGATTTCAAAATACATAAAAAGTATTTGTTTAGTAAAGGAAGTTATAAATATTTCAAATTAATTGTATTTGAACTTTAAGAACTGAGTTATGCCATTAAAAATGGGTAATATGTTATTAGCATATTGGTGGATATTACTTAGTATCATCTAACATAATATAGATATTTGATTGTAGCAGATATTTGTATATTTTTTAGAACCTTTCAAATCATTGTGAAAATACATTTTAGTATTATCACTATAAAATTAAGCTTTATCATATTGTTTTTCATTTTACATATTTGGATTTATTACCTCAAAAAGTAGTTTTTTCTTGCATGTCTTTCCCTCAAAAAGAAAAATTATTTTTTTCAGTGATCCATTTATTCTTACTCAGTGTCAGGGTTTACTGAACAACTAAGGTTGTCATCCTTCAGGTGTCCCAAACCAACTCCAGAGCCATTCTGCCTGTGTTGGGCTCCAGTCTCTTTACTGTCTGCAGCATCCTGGGCAAGATGCTGCTCTCCCTGCTCTCTGTTTTTAGCCCTGTGACATGGGATTAATTTGGAGCTCCATATTCAAGGACAAGGACAGGCCTTGCTTATTCCCACTATGTCCTCAGTATCTAATATACAGATAGTTACACATTGGGAGTATAGTAGATGTTTGTTGAATGACTAAACAATGGAAAATGAAGGAAAAAAAAGAATTAAAAGTGATTATAGTTTGCTGTCACCAGGTGGCAGAGAACTTTGTTGTCCAGACAACCAGCATTGAAGAATATATTGAGCATACTTTTCTTTTAATTTTTGTTTTTAAACATCCTTGTTTACTTTTGCTTAATACAGGATTTCTTCCCTCAGATACCATCACTATAGTTTTCACAGCACTGAAGTGCCATAGTCCCTTACCACGCTCTCCTCCCCCTGCTGTTCTCTAGTCTTCCCCTCTTCTCTCTTCCCCTCCCCTCCTGAGTGTCTCAGATCTGTCTGTCGCCTGACTTCAAGGGCCAGTCTTACAGTTTGTCTTTGTCTGATCCTTAGTTTAGTTTCTCTAGATTCCACATATAAGTGGAATCATCCAATATTTATCTGTCTTCTGGCTCATTTTACTTAAAATAATCCCTTATAGTTCTGCCCATATTGTTGCAAATGACATGAATTTATCTTTTTTGATTGCTAAGTAGTATTCCATTGTTTATATAGTTTTTTTTTTTTTTAAGATTTGTTTATTTATACAAGCACTGGGTACAGTCAGAGGCATGGGAGGGTGAGAGAATTCACCAGAGTCAGAATGGAGAGTAGAACAGGCAGAGTGATGAAGTACACTGCTGAGGGGAGCAGCGGGTGGCAGGAGAGGTCTGCACGCCATGTGGGACCCTCGCCCAGCAGCTAGGGATCGAACTGGTGCTGCAGAGACTGCGGGCAGCTTTGCAACCCAGCGCTCAACCCCTGCACCACCAGGGAGGCCCTATAGATCTTTTTTTTTAAGATTTTATTTATTTATTTTTTTTAAAGATTGATTTATTTATTTATACAAGAACCAGGGTACAGGCCAGATGCACGGGAGGGTGAGAGGATTCACCAGAGACAGTGGGGAACAGAACAGGCAGACTAATGAAATACACTGCTGAGGGGAGCAGTGGGCACGACAGAAGAGGTCTGCCACACCATATAGAACCCTTGCTGGGGTGTAGGTCAGAAGTTCAGGGATGTGAGAGGATTCATCAGAGACAGATTGGGGAGTAGAACATGCACATTACTGAAATACACTGCTAAGGATGAAACAGAAGAGGTCTGCTGCAGCATGTGGATTAACTCCCTGGCTGGGGATCAAACTCAGGCCATTGCTGTGGGCCCTTGTGATATGCCACATCTTCTTGATCCACTCATCTATCCTGGAGCATTTAGGTTGTTTCCTTATCTTGGCTATTGTAAATAGTGTTGCTGTGTATAGGAGTACAGGTTTCCTTTCAAATTAATATTTTTGTGTCTTTGGAGGGATACTTAAGAGTGGAATTGCTGGCTCATCTGGTAAATCAATTTTTAGTCTTTTGAGTAATCTCCACACTTCTTTCCATAGGGCCTGGACCAGCCTACATTCCCAGCAGCAGTATAATAGGGTTCCTTTTTCTCCAAACCCTTGTCAGCACTTGTTGTTTGAGCTTACTTTTCTGTTCATCATAATTAAACTTCCAGTATTATAGAATTTTTATAGTTTACACAGTATTTCCAAAATTAATTTGTTTCTCTCAGAAGCTCAGACATAAAAACAGGAGAGAATAAGCACTTTCTTTAAAATCACATAGGAAGTGTTAATAGCTATTTGATTGTCAATATTATGTCAGTCTTTACACAGGACTTTTGACTCGTTCAATCCTAAAACAGCCATCTTTGGTATGAGTTCATTTCAGTTGTACAAACAGGGAGCTTGAGGCTTAGTGAAGTGAAACAGTTTTGCCTATCTTCATACCACTAATAATTGACTAAACCAAGGTTAAATCTTTTGGATATGTCTGATCTCAAAGACACAATTGTTTCCTACCCCACAGTGTGTTATCAAATAATATATCACTGAAACTTTTGGAAGGAAGAGTTGAAGATAAACTTCAATGCCATTTGCACATTGACCTTGTTAACTATAGCCTGACATTTCTTTAATCCCATTTATTTTTGCAATCACCCTTTTAGATACATGCATAAATCTTTATGTTTGGGAATAGATTTTTCTAATTTTGTCTTAAAGTCTAGATCAGACCATTTTGGCCTCATAGAATTTAATCTTTACCTTCAAGTGGGTCAGTGCTTTTCTTAGCATTTTCTTATATAACAGCCCCCTTCCCCACCTTGCCTATTCTCTTCCTTTTCTCAATATATCTAGGCTATTAGAACTAATATAAATACGGTATTTTTCTTCTTGAAGTCTGTGCTTTAAAACAGGTTCTAATCAACCCTTACTCCATATGCTCTCTAAAGGTAGTAAAAGCAAACGGAAGTCACAGTGTGGATATTTCAAGTATTGCATTCACTTCTGTGCTGCAGATTCCAAACCCCTTTTCAGGCTAACGGAGGAAAAAAACATACATTCTCATTTGGAGAGAAATTGGCAAGTCTAACCAATATGAATTACAGCTAGTCATTATTAAAGTTTATGATTCTACAATTATTGTGAAATTCATATGGAATCACCAAAATCCCCGAATAGCCAAAGCTCTTCTGAAAAAAAAAAGAAGGGAATGGAGGCATCACACTCCCAGACTTCAAACTATACTACAAAGCCTAATCATCAAAACTGCATGGTATTGGAACAAGAACAGACACACAGACCAATGGAATTGAATATAAAATCCAGAAATAAACCCATAGATTTATGGTCAACTAATATTTGACAAAGGAGCAAAGAATATGCACTGGAGCAAAGAAAGTTTGTTCAATAAATGATGCTGGGAAAACTGGGTCGCTACATACAAAAGAATGAAGCTTGACCACTACCTCACACCATGCACAAAAACCAACTCAGAATGGCTTAAAGAACTAGACATAAGACCTGAAACCATAAAGTACATAGAAGAAAATATAGGCAAAACACTACATGACATGCACCTAGAAGACATCTTTACAGACACATCACCCAAAGCATTGATAGTGAAGGCAAAGATAAACAGCTGGGACTACATCAAATTAAAGAACTTCTGCACAGCAAAAGAGACAATAACAAAAACAAAGAGAAACCCCACCGACTGGGAGAACATTTTTGCACCCAACACTAACAATAAAGGATTGATCACAAAAATCTACAAAGAGCTGATGAGACTCAACAAAAACAAAGAAAATAATCCAGTCAAAAAATGGGCAGAAGAGCTAAAAAGAAACTTCTCTGAAGAGGAAATGCAAATGGCCAATGGGCATATGAAAAAATGTTCAACATCACTTGTAATCAGGGAAATGCAAATCAAAACTACAATGAGATACCATCTCACACCAGTGAGAATGGCACATATTAAAAAAAAACTAGCAACAACAAATGTTGGTGAGGTTGTGGAGAAAAAGGAACTCTCCTGCACTGTTGGTGGGAGTGCCAACTGGTCCAACCACTATGGAGAACTGTGTGGACATTTCTTTCTTTCTTTTTTTTTTTTTTAAAGATTTATTTATGTATTTATACATACAAGCACTGGGTATAGTCAGAAGCACGGAAAGGTGAGAGAATTCACCAGAGCCAGAGCAGGGAGCAGAGCAGGCAGAAGGACTGAAGTACACTGCTGAGGGGTGCAGCGGGCAGCAGGAGAGGTCTGCGCGCCATGTGGGACCCTGCTCCAGTGGCCGGGGAGCAGCCGGGGATCGAACCGGCACTGCAGAGGCTGTGGGCAGCTTCGCAACCCAGCGCTCAACCGCTGCGCCACTGGGGAGTCCCTGTGTGAACATTTCTTGAACTACTAAACATAGAGCTTCCATATGATCCAGCAATCCCACTCCTAGGTATTTACTCAGAGGACACAGAAACAGTAATTCCAAAGGGCACCTGCACCCCTGTGTTTATAGCAGCACTATTTACAATAGCTAAGCTATGGAAGCAACCCAAATGCCCCAAAATAGATGACTGGATCAAGAAGATGTGGTACATATACACAATGGAATATTATTCAGCAATCAAAAAAGATAAACACATGCAGTTTGCAGCAACATGGATGTTGCTGGAAGGGATCATGCTCAGCGAAATAAGTCAGAAAGAAAAAGAAAAATACCGGATGGTCTCACTCATAGCAGGAATTTAGAAAACCTAAATAAAAGACCAGGAAAAAGACTAATCAATACAAAGTAAAAATCAACAAGCAACTATAAACCAGAGACACTACGGGGTGGGGAGGGGCAGGGAAAGGAAGGACTAGTGTCAAAATAAGGGGGGGGTGCAATTGTATGGGGCATATAACCAAAATGAAAATGCATACAGGGCCTCCCCGGTGGCGCAGCGGTTGAGCGCTGGGTTGCAAAGCTGCCCCTGGCCTCTGCGGTGCCGGTTCGATCCCCTGCTGCTCCCCGGCCACCAGAGGAGGGTCCCACATGGTGCGCAGACCTCTCCTGCCGCCCACTGCTCCCCTCAGCAGTGTACTTCAGTCCTTCTGCCTGGTTCCCCCCCCCCCCCTCCCGCTCTGGCTCTGGTGAATTCTCTCACCCTCCCGCACTTCTGACTGTACCCAGTGCTTGTATAAACAGAAACAAACAAACAAGCAAATAAATAAATAAAGCATGCCTCTGTAAAAAAAAAAAAAAAAGAAAGAAAAGAAAGTGCATACATTGTGCAAAGATGAAAAAAGATGTAAGAATTATATAAAATAAAATATTTAAATTTAAAAAAAATTTCATACTCAACATTTAGCACAATGCCTGACTCATAATAGTCCCTCAATATGTGCTCAATACGTGAAAAAAAAAAAATTTATGATTCTAGTTCTAAGCCTATGTATAAAGGCTACAGCTTAGCTCTCTTTTAAATCCTCCTTTAAAGTTGTTCTTGAACACAATATCAGAAGAAATCTCTTTAAAATATGTAAAAATTTGTCTTAGGTTTATATCCTAAGACAAACCTACTTGTTTGTAAATAAAGGTGGATTTACTTCCCCTATTTAAAAAAGCAGGATCTTTTATTTTTACATGGCAGGAAGGAACTCAGTTTGGGCAAAAGGCACATTGAAAAATGTTATTTGTTCTTTGTAATTTCTCATTTAGGTTTACAACCTTTATCTTAATGAATGTCCATTCTTCTTAGTGTACCTCGATATGATCAACCTCCTCCTGTCACATACCAGCCACAGCAAGCCGAAAGAAATCAGTCCCTTCTGGTACCTGCAAATCCCTATCATACTGCAGAAATTCCTGACTGGCTTCAGGTTTATGCTCGAGCCCCTGTGAAGTAAGTGAAGTTACAGCATAAATTTTTCTTGAGAGGTGCATAGAGTGCTGAATGAAGTCTCTGGGCTGCTTTAACCAACACAGCACCATGTTTTTTTCTTAACACAGAGATTCTAAATAATATTTTATTTGAGGAAAGAATATTATAGCTTATTAAGTTTGAAGATCCTTGTTTAGAAATATGTCTTGCGAACCTTTATTGAATCTCCACTTTGTGAATCTTTGTGTGCAGAGTTGTGCTACTTAGGGATACAGAAGCCTCTTCATCTTATAATATCCATATAGTATAAGCCTAGTATAAGGAATGATAGCTGATGGACTTTTCCTTTCTCCCCCTCTTCCATTCTTGACACTATGTAACCTACTGCTGCATATAACCTTTGTTCATATGCTAATCAGAAGTCATATGCGTGTTAGGTTCTCCTTAAGTTTGGAAGAATATGTGTCCAACTGTTTACCTGTTTTGGAAAGGTGATAAGATTGAGGAGGACTATTTCTTCTACTGTATGTTATTTCTACTCTATAGTCATTGTTAGAAATAGCATTATGAGATTTCTTTTAGGGGTAAAAAGGTAGTACTTAAATTGAATTCCTGGCTCCTTATGAAAAGAAATAGACTTCCAGAGATGATAGTCCCTTTCAACTCTAGCTGTGTGCTGACTGTAAAACATGGTTGCTTTTTGATTCATCTTAAATTTTTGTCTCTAACTAGGATGGAAATGGTTAATATCATTTTGTCAGAACAGGGTAAGCTGTTATCCATGAATTCAATAATAGTTATTTCTCTCTTTAAAAAGAGGAAATTTGACCTCAAAACTGGTTTCTTCCTTTTGTTAAACAATCAAAACAATAGGACCCTTCTAGCTCCTGAAATTCTTTAATTCTATCATTCATAGTAACAATGAAAAGAAATTTGCAAATACATCCAGATTTTTCTAAATATTTATTAATTTTAGTAAAGTTATATTTCGAAGTCTGCTCACAAATCTGTAATGTGTCATATAATTACAATCAAACTGAAGTATAGGATAAAATTGTGAAGTTTAATTTTTAATAGAAAAATGACCATCAGCAGTGTATTTACTTTCCATTAACACACACACACACACACAAACACACACGTGCATATTCAACAGCATTGTGGCATAGATTCTTATTCATATGACTTGGCAATTCTCCAATGTTCCCATTTTGTGGGTATAGGTAAAAAGAAGAATGAGCATAATGTTTGTTACAAGGTTTAGTTAGATGTAGACATATTATGATTCTTGGAGCTGGAAATAACAGCACTTTTGCTCCTCAAGGCAGCATTCACTACGGTGTCAACAGGATTTTTTGACAGCCTTACAGCAATTGCTGTTTGTGTATATGGATTGTTAATGAATAGTGTTTCAATAGAATAATGCCCTGGGAAAAACAGAATATAAGAGATGCTTTTAACCCTGGGCTGAGTGGTTTTCAGACCATTTTCTGAATGATTGGTCTGTGTAGATAAGAGTACAAGTGGCTGAAAGTTAAACTTGGAAAGACATATTTTTTGGCTAATTAAGAAGGGAAGAATGGAATTTACAAACTTCAAAAATGAAAAACAGGTATACTTAGATGTGTTAGGCAGGAGGGAAGAAGAACTATATAGAAGCTGTAGGGGCAAGAATTTGGAGTTAAAGTTTAATGCATTGCATACTTTCCTGTGTGCTTTTCTTGGAGTACTTTTTTCCTTCCCAAAAGATTTTCTCTGATTTTGTTGCTTCTGCCCATCATCCTGTTCTTGGTGCTAACTGGGAAATCAGGAAGTTTTTAAAGTTTTAGACTTTAATGTTTATAAAGAATGATATGCACGTGTTAAAAACAAATAAGATATTTATCAATTTTTCCTTGTTAGAAAGTACACAGATGATACATGAGCTTTAACTTTCTTATTGTTCCCCTGGTGTAAATTACATATCTTTACTCAGTAAACATTGTTGAAATGCCCTGAAGCTGTGGAATTCAGATTGAAGATGATTAAGACTTTTTCTTAGGAATTGCAGATATGTTTCAAACAAAAAATAAAATCTGAAACTACATGAACAGCAGAGATTCTGGCAAACACTGTAAACTATTTCTTCCTGGAGGCTCTTTGAGTTTTTCTTGTAACATCTCTCCAATTTATGTTGACAAGTAGTCAGAGTTGCCCACTAAAGAAAATATTTAATATTTCTACCACGTATACTCGTTAGTAAATTTCAGTGCCTACTAAGTAGGTAAATGAATAAAATTTGGAGTTCAACAAATATATTTACCTTGTAGTTCCACATAGTGTGCTCCTGGTATTCCTAGTACAAGTTGTATGGAAACGGCAGCATACACTGTACATCGACGGCTCAATATTTGTTTACTGTTTTCCCTTTTGAATGCCCCTTTTTTATACTAGGCAAATGATCCTTTTGGAATAAGATGATAAATGAATTACCCAAAAAGAATTATTGGCTAGGAAATATTATAAATGAATACTATTACTCTTATAAATACATTCAGATACACAATGGAATATTACTTGGCAATCAAAAAAGATAAACTCCTGCCATTCACAGTAACTTGGATGGAGCTAGAAGGGATCATGCTCAGTGAAATAAGCCAGAAAGAAAAATACCAAATGGTCTCACTTTTAGGAGGAATGTAGAGGATCCAAATGAGGGATCAGGAAAATAAATATTAATTATAATACAGTAAATATCAAAATCAACAGGCAGCTATAAACCAGAGACATTCTACAGGAGGGATGAGGCGAGTTGGATCAAAACAGGGGTGGGAAGAGCACAAGGGCCTTGGGTGATGGTACACGGTGAATTGGTAGTGGGAGTTTCATGGGAACTATGACCGAGATGAGAAAGAATACATTGTACAAAAATGAAGAATGATGTAAAAAATATATAAAATAAAAATAAATAAGTAAAAGTGAATCAAATGCTTTTAGTAAAATTTTCAGTCAAAACTTTTGTTTGTATTGCATTATGATGAGAGAAATTTAACTTTAGTATCACATAGGTGTATACCTTGCTATAAAATTCAAATCCTTTGTCTAATCTTAGATATTAATATTCAAAACTGTTACTCTGAAATATCTTGGTGCATAGTTCTTGGCCTTTCTGATCTTTTAGTCATTAAACAATTTCGTAAGAGATAGTATAGCCTCTTCAGGTTTCAGTTTTTCATTTCTAAAATGAGAAAATTGAATTAGAGTGCTGTCTTTAGGTCTCTCCTTTTTTTTTTTTTTTTTTAATAGAGGCATTTTTATTTATTTATTTATGTGTTCGTTTGTTTTGTTTATACATGCACTGGGTACAGTCAGAAGCGCAGGAGGGTGAGAGAATTCACCAGAGCCAGAGCAGGGAGCAGAGCAGGCAGAAGGACCGAAGTACACTGCTGAGGGGAGCAGCGGGCGGCAGGAGAGGAGGTCTGCGCGCCATGTGGGACCCTCCTCTGGTGGCCGGGGAGCAGCCGGGGATCGAACTGGCGCCGCAGAGGCCGCGGGCAGCTTCGCAACCCAGCGCTCAACCACTGCGCCACCGGGGAGGCCCTAGGTCTCTTTCAATTCAAAATATAAATTTGTACTTTAGTACAAATTGTTGCATTATTTTCATCTTAGAATGTTTTATATTTAACCATTGAAGAAGGACCAAAAGCCTTCTGAGTTATGTATTTAATACAGGAGTTCCTTCCCCACATTTTGGAGTCTTTGCATCTATTCCCTCATTTTGAAAAGAACTTTTATTCTACTATCTACTTCAGTTTGTGTTTTTGGTGGGTTTGTTTTTAAATACAGTTGATCTTTGGACAAAACAGGCTCAAACTACACAGTTCTACTTATATGCAGATTTTTTTTTTTTTTTTTTTTTTTTTGTCTACAGGTTCCACATTTGCTGATTGAACCAACCAGCATGTATAGATGTTGGTTGGTTAAGTCTGTGGATGTGGAACTCATGACTATGGATGGCTGAGTATAATAAAACAAGCATCCATGGATTTTGGTATGGGGTGGTCCTGAAACTATTCTCCCACAAATATCAGGGGATGACTGATAAGGTTAAGTATTGGAGGAGTCAAAGGTTATATGTGAACTTTCAACTCTGTGGGTTCATGCCTCTGACTCCCCAGTATTGTTCAAGGATCAACTGTCCTGCACACTCAGCTTTGGGAAAACTTAGCCCATTCTTCTTTCTGTTTAGTTCCTTGTCTGCTGCAATGAACAACATTCCTCAAAAAGCTATAATCAACGTCAGTGACATAATCTTGTCCATTTTTGTGTATTATTGTTTTTGAGTGCAGTGTGTTCTAAAGTATTCTCTTCAGAAATTATAGAACCACAGTGGTTTGAAAAATGTTCATGTTTTCCAGTGTTAATATTAGAATAACATTTAAGATTAAGAGAATGGATATTTTTAACAACTGAAATTAAGTAAGATTAGCAGTTTTCTCCTCTTTCTAAAACATAGTGTATATAATATATAGCAGTTAATAACTTAGTTTTAATAAAGCTTATTATTTGTCATAATAAAGTAGATGTTTATAAAAATAGACCTACAAATACATACTTATGTATTATGAACAGATGTATGATTGTCTTTCAAAACAGATATGACCACATTCTGAAATGGGAGCTCTTCCAGCTGGCTGACCTGGACACATACCAGGGAATGCTAAAGTTGCTTTTCATGAAAGAACTGGAACAGATTGTTAAAATGTATGAAGCCTACAGACAGGCTCTTCTCACAGAGTTGGAAAACCGCAAGCAGAGACAACAGTGGTATGCCCAGCAACATGGCAAGAATTTTTAAGTTAATTTTTAAAATTTGTTTTATAAGGGCTTTAATATTTTCACAGATTAAAAAAAAAAACTGCAAACAAGTACTTTGGTTAATAAAGGCAGCTTACTTTTTAGAAATTATAAAATGCTAATTTTACATGTATTTTGTTATTAAAAATAATCTTTTATTGAGCAAAAAAAATGAGGTTATCATTCCAAAGCCATCATGGCAAACACTTCCAAGTGATGTATATTAGGAAACTGCTTAGAATATGCAGCAAGAAATACTATTATATACAGATATGAAATAGAAAATAATCACTTGGTAAATTTTTAAAGTAGTAGTTCCTTTCTTTAAAAAAGAGAAAGAAAACCTATGCAGTATTATTTTAAAAGATATTTGCTGCTCTGGTGTGAAAAATTATCTGAAATCAGTTGGTTTAAACATTACCATTATGTTGTTCAAAACATACAATGGATTTGGGACCTTTACTGTGATAAATGTTTGTATATAATGTATGGCATTCTCCTGCCACCGGAATGTAAAAAACACTTTTAAAATGTATTGTGAAAATATTTTTGGTGTGAAAGGGTAAAAGGCCTGTAATAGTTCAGGAATAATTAAGGCTTAAGGCTTTAACTAACCCTGTGGGAAAAGTATGTGCAACACTCAAAGTTGTGAATATCACTTCCTTACTTTCAGCCAGGGCTCTTATGCATGGCTCTGATGAGACCATGGAGGGTTCCCAACAGGATAGCATACCGCCATTTTAATAGTTTGGCTTGAACTGACAAAATTGACAATAAGGGATTCATTAAGAAAATTCAGTCATTAAATTGATTGTTATGTATCTTTTAGCATCACAGAACTTTAAAACTTTCAATTCCATTTTTTTCCTTTAGTTTAACAGTTAAACAGTGTTCATAATTACTGGAGTACATTTGATTGCAGAAAAGTTGACTCTTCTAAGCCTATAAATCTCTAGAATTCTGTGAATTTCAACATTTGTTGAAGTAGCTCTTCAGATGTATTTACAGGTGTTGTAAATATGTAAATAAATTTTTAATTTAGTAATCTTCCAAAATACAAAGCACTCCCAGTTAGATATCAGTGAATTTGAGATATTGATAAAATGTTGAAAGTTTTAAATGTTTGATTTTATATAACAAGCTTATTAAATATATTTTTGTGGAAACTAAAGGTGTTGTGTGAATCCATACATACATACATAGCACTATAAATATTTGATTTTCTATTCAGAAGGCCATGGGCAGAGAAAGCAGTTAATGAAAGGGTTATTGAAAACTGTAATAAGTGAGTGGAATTTTGTAAGAGGGAAAAATTATTTTGTATGGCGTGTGATTAAACTTTTCTAATATATAAGGTGACATACTTAATGAACTTTCAAACATTCTTCTATGGTAATCATTCTTTCCTGTTACCTCTTTATGGTACCATTAAATTAATTTAACTAAAGCTTAGCCGTTTCTAAGAAAGTTAGAAATTACTCTGCTTTAGACTTCCCAGATAAATTTGCTTTCCTTTTTTCATTATCATACTTCTTTAAAATGTGCATTATTTTTTATACCATGTTTTTCCTCCAAAATACTTAAATGAAATTAAAATTATAATATGAAATTATTGGTTTAAGAGAACTGGAAGTTACTTTAAGGGGTTAGCATGTTTCTTAAAATGGAAAGCTAAATTTATAATGGTATTAAAATTAATTGCATTTTGAATTTAAAAAAGTTAAGCCATCATCATTCTATGTCAGCACCTCCCAAATATTTCAAATCCAGTAAGCATTTGTTTTTAATCAGGAACCAGAATAACTTTTAATAATAGTTCACATGTTAAAAGAATAAACCTATGAAGAATACATTTCTTTGTGTACCAAATGAAAAAATATACAATGCAGTGAAACACAAATACAAAGTATTTTTATGCATTTTAATCAAGTTTATATTCTATATTGTTATAATATAAAAGAAGCAATATATAGTTTTGGATAAAGCAACTGAAAAGCTCTCTGAACTGTATTTAAAAATAAGTAAGAGCTTATGGTGTATGTAAGGTGATATAGAGTGAATCAAGACTGTTGAATTATGATGCTATATTTAAATAAATAGCTATAGGAAATAATTTAAAAATTCTTCTATAGAAATAAAATGAGCATATCCAAATGTAGAGTATCACTATACAGTTTAATTGTAACCCAATAGCAGAATTTAGTAAATTCAAGCAGAACACATGTACTGTCATCATAAATAGATAAATATTTTAAACTATAATAGCATAAAGATAAAAATCATAACCTGTACATGTTAACAAATAATATAACCATGCATACATACATTTGCTTATTAAGCACTGAAATAAAAGAACTAAACCATTTTGCAGTCTTCAGAGGTGCTTGGTATTTTACTCTGTTTTGATGGAAGCACTTTGAATGTTTGCATGGAGACATAAAACTGAATATTTAGCTGACAATTGGTCATGCACCTGTGTTTTAAAATTTGGGTTAAGTTTTCTTCTTTTCTGATTGTTCAGTAGTTTCTGACTTTGGTGCAGGAAAAGCTTGATGATACAGATGTCTGTGGGTGGCTGCTGCACTGTAAAGTTTGTACAAAGCCTAGAAACAAGAACGGAGATTATGAAACCTTTCGTGAAACACACAAATTTTTCTTTTTTAGTGCAGTTTATGAGACTGTGTAAAATTTAGTATGCTAAATTTGGAATCTATATCATTAATCTATGTAATATATAATTTAATAATATGTTAGAATGCAAGAATATTTTGTTTTCCAGTGTGTGTATATTAATACATTTGTGGGTTGATCTTCATGATAAATGTTTTATTTTCAGACTGTATTTCCTTTTACCTTACAAGCCTCCTTAGAGCAAAACTTCCTAACCACTATTTACGAGGGGTGTGTTGAGAAGTCACATTGTGAATGTTAATCAGTTTAGAGGAATTAAAGGCTCTCATAATTCTGACGACCAATAGCTACTAATTATACATAGACCACTTGCAATCAGTGCTTCCTTACAGGTATTCCATACTAGGAACACATTTATTCTCTGTTATTTCCTGACATGGTCATTGAGTTAAAGCGTATATGTTAGCTTGCCTCTGCCGTACTGGAATCTCTTATTTAAACATGCTCTTGCCTTGTTTCCATTAATTGTTCCTATCTTATAAAATCTTATTCAGAAAAATACCTCAGAAAGCCTTTCCTCACTGTGGCTGTTCTTTGTTTAACATATTCATTTATATAATGATCCATATTTTTGTTTTTTTCCCCTTCAGCCAGTGTCTGAGATTCATTCCCTCCTCTGACTTTTACACATTGAATATTCAGTTAACTAAGTAATCTGAGACAATTCTGAACTCTGTAAAAAATCTATTTTTAAAAATGAATGGAAGCAATATCCTTTAGATTGTAATTGATTCCCAGGAAGTTCCATTAATTTTTTTCTTTCGTTAGTCTATATAGCTATTTTGTTTTGATGTTCTTAGGTCTGAATGGTATCATCTTCATTTCTATGAATACACATTGGTGCAATGTGGGATTATCCTACTTTTGTGTTATTTTGATTCTAACACATTTAATTTAACCCCTGTTCTCTTAAAAGCTTAGATTTTTTCCTTAAGGTTTGATTTACAAAGTTGAATCTTGATTTACTTTTTGTTTTACTGAGTTTTACATAAAATAATTCCTTATTGACTTATTAAATGTATCACTAGTATTTCAGTAGAGGACATAATTCAGTTATGTATGATAGCAGAATTTGTGTTGTCTCTGTAGTTGTTCAAAATTAGGTTTGTTTCTTGAAGATAATAGTTAAAATGACTTCATAGAGATCATTTTTCTTAGTATAACAAATGATTCCTTCCTAGAAGCTCAGATTTGTTCCTCAGATACAGAGTTGTGCACATGTCCAGTAGTAGAAATGAACACCAATTTATAGGTAAGATCTAAGAAAGTTACACTGTATATTGGCATGCTTAAAGTGGTATAGATTAACTGTCACTCAAAAGCCAAAGTTAAAAACTACTTATAAAGTTGTACCTCCATTTAAATACACTTCAGTAGAGTTAAATTTCATTAAGATTCATAAGTATACTTATTTCACTCTGCAGCAGAGTAAAAGGCACAATGTTAGAACATAGAATTTTTAAATTTTTTTACACATTTAGGAAGCAAAACATTCATGATAAGCAAGTCTTGTGTTTCATATACAAATCAAATCACATGATTTCTTGAATACTTTAAGTATTTTAAAATAACATTAAAATTCACAATTAAACTTGTAAATCCTAGAATGTAAGGTCAGTAGTCAATAAAGATTTTCGAATTTACATTGAGACATACTTTAATGACTAGTTAGGTTTATAAAAATAAGACTATAATGTTTACAAATATATACCTCATAATTAAAAAAAATTAACTTACCTCATTTGTACTTCCCTGTGGCAAAGGCAATTTAAAAGAGAAAAAAGAAAAGCATATATCCTGCTTCACAAATAGCATTAATATTCAAATTTGTTTACAGTATTTGCGAGTATTTAAGAACTGCAAATTTTTCCAGTTTTGATTATTTTATTTGAAGATTCTAACGAATCCAATTTTATATTCCCCATAGGTTTCAGCATCATATTCTGTGAGGGCTTTGGATTTACCTCAAATAGCTACTCTTTGGGGAAAGAATGAAGTAAAAACTGCATCCTCTGAACTCCTGGCCACTTCATTCTCTCCATCAGTTTATCTCAAATAGATTCTTCAGAGGTCTGTGGTAGATTCATTAATTACAGATGTATTATAAAGATTATAAATATAATCAATGCTAAGAAAATTGTCTCTGTTAATACCTACAGACCATAACTGTTCAAAAATCTTAACTACAGAAGTTAATGAAGCTTAATCTTAGTTTCACTAAATTCTCCTAGTAGTTTATGCTCCTAACAAAACCACTGTTAGTCAAATGATAGTTTTTAAGTATGAAGTAATGTTAATGCAAAATCATGTCAGAGTGAGCTAAATAAAAACTACTTTCTCACACTTAACAACTTCAACTTTTAGAATAAAAAGTAAAAGCATGTTTAATACATGTATTTTTGGAAAACTCTGAAATGTTAACTGGAAAATAGCTGCGTAAAACTTCATATGATATGTCTAATTGTATCTGGCCAGCTTGACACAAAGTTACTAAAGTCACTGAAGACTGGTAATGTTCATTTGTATTTTTCCAGGATCTTTCACAGTGTCTGGTACACAGATCATTTAAATGTGTGCTGAATTTAGTTGAAGAGAAAGCATTCCTACCTGGTCCCACAAGGCTGCAGCCACCTGGTCTATTACAGCTCCCAGCTCTCGGTATTCTCCAGAGTACCGGATGTATGCCCAGGTGCACAGGGTGATAAGGGTCAGTCCCATTATCATATTGCATAGGCTAGCTATGATGTCCAAACCAATGAATCCAGTCACACCAGCAATCACATATGTGATAAAGATGACAACAAACAGTGTGGCTGGGGTACGAGCTGCATGGAAGATATTTTTGCTATCATTGTGCTTGATATATTGGATGTAAAGTTCATCTATTTCACTCTCCAGCTGCTGCAGGTAACGCCGACTAAATTCCTCCCCACCCATTTTCTTCACCCCTCGGAACAGCTTTACAGATTCTTCCTTAAGCTCCAGATGTTTGGTCTGCAGGTCAGTAGGGGCTAGAAATGGTTTGTCACCACCACAAATCTGTATCAGATAAAGAAGCATTGTTTTTGCAATGCAAAGTAAAATTAGCAGCTAAATAAATTTTCATTTAGCTAGTTGAATTTGTTAGATCATTAGTAATCAGAAGGAGGCTGCGTATATGTTTTGCCAACCCACAACTTTCTGCATTCCATATCTATCATGCTTGACTTTAAATGGGACTGGTACTTTATAAAAGGTGAGATATATATATATATATATATATACACACACACATACACACACACACACACATACATATATATATAGTTATTTTTAATTTTTATTTTCTTTTTGTCATAAAAATATCCATGACTTAGTTAAAAGTTCCTTAAGATGACAAGTCATAATACAAAGTGAACTGCAAACTGAGTTTGTTCACAAAATGAATCTAAATTCAATAAAATAACTTATATCCAGGTTGATCTAAGAAACTTATTGCAACTACACCGAAGTAATTTTGACCAATGAATAGTTTAAAATAATGAATGCAATAAAGCTTTAAAGTAAAATTATGAAATACATTTTCTTTGGCAGTTTCACTGATAACTTTTTAATGGAACCCACTCAGTATTTTCAAGAGACTGGGTGAAAGCATATTAAATGTTCTTAGACAATATTTTAAATTTTTTGAGAAGTTAAAGGGAAATCCCAGTTATCCATACAACTCATTTTGGTTATTTGCTACTTAACCATATAAAGTATACCAATTACCTTTTAGTTATACCATAAACAACAGTCCATATACCTATACTTTCCTTGAGTCTAAGACTCCAATTTTGGATATAATTTTAATTTTATAACATTCAGTGAGAAAAACTCATCACAATAATTATTAGATGCATCATGATTAGAATGTTAAGAAAGAATATAGAGCATGTAGAAATACTGGGATTCGAGATTTAATTTCCTTTTATTTCCTAAAAAGTTTTTATATTTAAGATAGAAATACTGGCATTGTGGAATATAGAAGATGTAGTCGAGAGAGTAGCATATGTTGTTTTAGCTGCGGTATCATATAAGTAGTGGGAAAATATGACCAAAAATGTGTCTCTATTACAGAGATACTCATTTAAAATTGTGCACATATAGTGTTCTTTCATTTAAAATTGTGCATATATAGTGTTCTTTCCATTGTTTTAAATATATTTTAGGACTACAGTAAATATAACTGTGATATATATAGGCTGAAAATAAATCAAAGCCACCTCTTTGCAGGTGTAAAGAGTGTACCTTGGAAGAACAAAGAATAGAAGAAATACTGATTTTTTAAAATACTCTTACCTCTTCCATTTTCTTGTTGTATGTATCCTTGGCAGTTGCCACTGCTGCTAAATTGTTAGCTTCTGCTGTAGCCTTTGGACAAAATACAACATATGATGTAAAATGGAGTTCATATTTGTTAAACTTCCACTGGCAGTTCATATTTCACAGCATCATGTGCAAGAACCCAAGGAGATCAAATAATTTGAAAGTATCTCAGCATTTCTACATTTTCAAAAATTAGTAAAATTAACAACTTCAAAAAGCACAAAATACTATTTTACTCAATAAACTGGTTCTAAAAAGATTTTTGGGGGGAAGATTTTTTCCCATTAAAAATGTTTAGCCTGGGCCTCCCTGGTGGCGCAGCGGTTGAGCGCTGGGTTGCGAAGCTGCCCGCAGCCTCTGCAGCGCCAGTTCGATCCCCGGCTGCTCCCCGGCCACTGGAGGAGGGTCCCACATGGCGCGCAGACCTCTCCTGCCGCCTGCTGCTCCCCTCAGCAGTGTACTTCGGTCTTTCTGCCTGCTCTGCTCCCCGCTCTGGCTCTGGTGAATTCTCTCACCCTCCCGCGCTTCTGACTGTGCCCAGTGCATGTATAAACAAAACAAAACAAACAAACAAATAAATAAATAAATAAAAACATGCCTCTATTAAAAAAAAAAAAAAAAGATTCTAAAAATGTTTAGCCTACCAAATAGGGAGAAAAGTTGTAACTCCAAATACATGGGAAAAAATAATACATATAGGTTTTAGGACATTGTTTAAGGACATTGGGACCTCTTAATATTTTAGGACATTGGGACCTCTCTGGTGACACAGGGGTTAAATAAGTCTCAGTGCTATCACCAGCCACTGCAACATGAGTTTGACCCAGCCAGGGAGCTAACCCACATGACACAGCAGGCCTCTCCTGTCTTGCCTGCTGCTCCCGTCAGCAGTGTATTTCAGTAGATACACCTGTTCTGCTCCCCGCTCTGTCTCTGGTGAATCCTTTCACCAGCACCTCTGGCCTACACCCCAGTTCATGCATAAATAAATAAAAGTAAATTAAAAAATGTTTTAGGGCATTGATGACAAAAAGGAACTATTAAGAAATTTAAATGAAATTGTTAAAAAGCAGGAAAGCTAGTTTCTCCTTTTTTAAATGTTATAGTGTACCTAAAACCTGGACCGGTTTTTTTTTTCTTCATTAGATGTGTGATTCTAAACTATAGTATGAGTCTGTTTTGTAAACAAATTCAATACAAAGAATGAAAACTTCGGTTTAAACTGTTTTATCTCTGCACAGGTGAGACTGCTGTATGTTTTCGTAAAAATGTTTAAATGAACACACAAATGGGGGGTTGTTAGAAAAATAATCTTCCAGTAAATTTCTCTCTGCTAACCAGATTGGAACTTATCTTTAGCTTAGCATGGCATAAAGCTAAAGAAAACTTAATCTTCAGTGACAAGTTTTTTTTTTGTTTTTGTTTTTTTGTGGGACCCTCGCCGGCGGCCGGGGAACGAACCAGTGCTGCAGAGGCTGTGGGCAGCCTCGCAGCCCAGCACTCAAACCGCTGCGCCACCAGGGGAGGCCCCCAGTGACAAGTATTTTTTAAAAAGTTATACCTCCTCATTAATAAATACCTGTAACATGGATTTGGGATGTGGTAATTCTTCACCTTGATAGATCTTTATATAAGCCTAAAAAAAAAAAAAAGACTCATGTCAAATAATACCATTCAGTGTTTTCCTAATTCTGTTAAATTGTTCTAAGGTCAAATGCCTTGGCAGTGAAAGAAAAAAGGTTGTTGACATTGTCAGGAAATTATCTCTTTCTCATATTTCTTTCTCAGTTCTTGTTCCCTTTTCCTGAGATGCCCTTTTTCCATAATCTTTACTTGCCAGTCCTACACTTTTTCAAGGCTCAACTCACTGCCAGCTCTGTACCACTTTTTCTCAGATCTCTCTGCTAACAGTAGCAAGGTCCTAACTCCTATGAATTCTAAGCTCCTCCACAGTGCTATACAGAATAAGAATTCAAATTTTAGATAAATAACATGTCATATATTGCTGAGTGATGGAGGTAAGTAACCATATAGGAGGAATATGAAAATATTGTAAATAACGAAACATGATTTTAAAAAACTGATGTTTTAGTCCTCAGAACATCAGTCCACAATTAGGTTAGTAATTGAAATTCTCCACCACATATATTAGTTGGTAAAAGAGGTAAACAGGTTTGCACATTTACAATCATTCTACTTCAAATTGGCCCATGGTGTAGAAAGCAGGAAATGTAAAAGTTTGCTCTAATAGGAAGGCAAAGTATAGCCCCTTTGGGAAAATCTTTAGAACAAATGTAAAATTTAGTATAGGTCATGACTGAGAACTACATGGATGGACTCTAGAATACACCTTCCTCAAACACCAACAAACAGACTTTTCCAACTCTCAGATACAGTCTTTTTTCAGATTATATTTCTGCTAAAAGGGGGCAATAAATTACTTCAATGAGTTTTCTCAAAAAATAATTTCAGAAAGTAAGCTTTTCTTGGGAGTCTTACAACTTTTTTTTATAGATTTCTCATACCTTTCCTGCCCCCTCCCCTATTACAGAGTATATGATTCTTATATGGTTCATACAGGAACTGCATTCCAAAATGTCAAATCTAAATACTCACAAATGCTCTAGAAATGAAAATAATACCTTGAAGTACTCCACCAGACCTCGGCAGGTGATTTTGTTCCCATTGATCTCTTTAATATCTAGGCTTTCGGGACTAAGTAGCCAAGGAATCAGTATTTTCAAGTTTTTGATGAATTCATCATCTATTTCTACAAGTAAAAGCAAATCCATCATTGTTTTTAAAATCCTAGTTAGTCCTCTGTACCATATAACAAAACAACCTTTGATTTCCTCGATTTTTTCCCCAGTGTGATAATGACATCAGTCCACTTTCCAACATCATCTAAAACAACTCCTGAAACCTGCTTTCTTAGGTTGAGTGATACTCTTTGAACAAAAATCTGCTGGTCTTTCTCATCTACTCTCCAATTACATATTTATCTTGTCTTGTACCTAAAAAATAGCTTCCCTGATATTAAATGTTACACATTCACATTATTTTGATTTATTGTGATGTCTTTAATGTCTTGTTTGTAGTTATACAAACAGATACACACACACATGTAGTTTCATAAATCTGGGGGAAATGCCAGTTATTTACTGGAAAAATAAGATGTATTTCCTCCAGAAAATGTATCCAAAAATTGCTGTTTAGTGTACCCACTTTATGAAAAGATGGGTAAGGTGTGGTAAGTAGGACTCAAGTTGAAAAAGGTAGTGATGATGCTGCTACCTCTCGTACTGAAACAGCAACACAAAATAACATGGCAAGAAATAGTCATGGAGGCCTTGAGAGAGGATCATAGGTATTTGACTACCATGTTTGGTATAATTGATTACACATAATCCATGTTACAGTGTTAAGTTCAAACTTAACATTATAGGCCTAACAAAATAATGCAGAAAATATATTTTCAGAGAAGTCTTTTGATAACTGATAATTTCTTAAATCAATATTTTAAACATATAGAATACACATGTAGATATAGATATATAAAATAAGGTATGTCCAGAGACGTGGTATCTAAGTCAATTCAGTAACTTCCTATAATTTTTAAAAATCTAAATTACAGCAAACTCAAGTTTTCAGGCTTCAGGACTGGTGAGTACCAACATCTTAAAGACTCAAATCTAATGATTCTGTTTGAATGTTTCCATTGTTATGTATGTATCATGTATATGTATTTCCATGCATATGTGTTATTATATGTATTTATGCACTGTGTACATTTACATAATAACAATATTTTATATCTAATAGCTCCAGTATATGTAGAAATACCACTTCACACAAGAATTCATATTTCTCTTGTTGCCGTTAAGATAAGCATGAGCATGAGGCTAGAAATCCTTCAGAATTATTTTGCCTCATGTTTGTACAGCTTTGAAATTTTAGTGCTCCTGTCTTACGAGTGCTCTTATGCATTTATGAGTACTTGTCTAGAAGTTTATTCAAATTTATTTTGCTGTTTGCATTATACCAATTTTTATATTCGTTACACTATATAGATTTTATTTAAATTTATTATTATGCTTTTCTTTTTAGTTACCAGTAATCACTGAAATACAATGCAGGTATTTGTATTGTTTACTATATTCTTCCCATGTTGTGTTTTGTTGCCTGCTATGTGTCTGCATTCACTTACACCAAGAGGTTTCTTTTTTGCTTTATAATTTTATGATTTTTTGAACATTAGTAGAGAATTGCCATATCTAGAATGTATTACTTCTTCCTGAATTTCTGTATAAAACTAAAAGCCTTCTCCTTATAAAATCATTAAAATTGTTTTCAAAACATGTACTTAAATCACCCCCTCCCCCAAACTTCCTTATGTAATTGGAATAGAATAAGATACACTTGTGTATCTAATGCACTAGCAATGTGGGAATTATCACTGAATAACTAGCATGTAACAACACATTTGGATTTAAAATGTGTTCTGAAGATCACATTAGCCATAATTTGTAACTGTTCTCACGGAGGCAATAGTAGATAATAGATATTTCAATTTTGGATTTAGAAAACATGAACAACATATTTATAACATGCGCTTATAATTTTAGTTGAACATACTAAACACATGACCCAGAATATCAGTTCAGATCAACTTATAGAGATGTACTAATCCAGTCTTAACTGGAGCAAAGAAGCAGCTCCACAATTTATGTGGATACTTGAATCACTCTTTATTTGGTAATATAACAGAGCAACCTCAAAAAAAAAAGGTAACCATTAAAAGATTGAATGTTCAGGGAAGTATTTAGTAGGCACTTGGTAAGAGCTGGTTGAATGTAGCATGAATGAATGTGATTCAGCACGTTTGGTCCTTTTTATTTCCTACAAGGGAAGCTATTAATAGCAACTAAATTCAATCATAATAAGTTTTAAATAACCCAGAAGGTAGTAAGATAACTGCAATAATGTAAGTGACCATGAACAAATGGTAATGTAACAGTGATTACCACTGCCAGTAGCTAGGAATGGAACAAGTCAGAATACTTTTCTAATTCCAATAAAGGACTGTTGTTGAAGGCCTGCCCCTCCTCTGCCTGTTTATTGCTCTCCAACTCCAGAGAATAAAGAAAGGCTTGTAGAATCTCTCTCTTTATGTAATTTATTTAAAAATACATTGAAGACAGGCCTCCCTGGTGATGCAAGGGGTTAAAATGCAACCTATGAAGATATCTGCAGCCACTGAAGCATGAGTTTGATGCCTGGTCAGAGAGATACCCACATGGTGCAGCAGACCTCTCCTGACTCACGTTCTCCTCAGCAGTGTGTTTCCATCATTCTGCCTGTTCCCCACTCTGTCTCTAGTGAATCCTCTCATTCCCCACACCTCTGGCCTGTACCCCATTCTTGTATGCATAAATCAATCTTTAAAAAAAAATACATTGAAGACATTAGGTAATTGCACAGTATTGAGAGGTCTGTGTGCTCACCAGTGGGTTAAAATGTATATGACAGTAAAATTTAAAGGAATCTGTAACTCATGCATTTAATATGTGCTTACTGATACCTGTTCTGTTGTATAAAGATAATTTAAAACATTCTTAAAAACAGTGCTGATGATTGAGAAATTTTGAGTTCTCCCTCTAATACTAATGTTGTAGTTAAATATAAGGAACATTAGAGTAAACACTATTGATACAAAAGACAAAAAACACATTTGGTTTTCAAACCTGCCAGTTCCTTAAAACTGAATAGAAGTTACTTTGTCCTTTTTAAAAAGTGATTTTAAATCTCTTTAATTACAGTTGGGCTAAACATCTTGTTATGCCACTGTCTTACTAACCCAGGGATATAGCCGAAGGGCCACAGTAAATTAAGCAAATGTCTAAACTGAGTGGTGTATACTCAATGCTAGGCTTATAAGTTAAAAAGTCAGAAATGTGTTTGTACTACTTTGAATTGACTACAAAACAATTAACTAGGACCGGTGATAAGCCATTAGGAAAGATTAACCCTTACCCTCCACCACTCCTTACTTTTATTTTTTTTATAAATTGAGTTGCTTTGGAAACTTAAAACATTAGTCATGTGTGTTTAAGAGATAATTATAGGGTCTCCCCAGTGGCGCAGCGGTTGAGCGCTGGGTTGTGAAGCTGCCTGCAGCCTCTGCAGCGCCGGTTCGATCCCTGGTTGCTCTCTGACCACTGGAGGAGGGTCCCACATGGCATGCAGATCTCCTCTGCCACCCACTGCTCCCCCTCAGCAGTGTACTTCGGTCCTTCTGCCTGTTCTGCTCCCTGCTCTGGCTCTGGTGAATTCTCTCACCCTCCCACGCTTCTGACTGTACCCAGTGCTGTATAAATAAAGAAATAAATGTTTAAAAAAAAAAGATAATTATATACTATTAGAATTTACTATTTGAAAAATAGTGGTTTTAGCTTTTTTAAGAAACTGGTGTTCAGGAGATTTCATTTTAGTGAAATTTCAACAATTTATAATTAAATTCTTCAGTAGATGTTTTAAAGAGCTTGAATTCATTACTATGCAGTATTTCTTTCAATTTCTAATTGAATAGTAATGCAGATATTCCAATAATCTAGACATCTATCTTTTCCCCTTTAACATAAATAAGGAAAATTAAACAGGAAGACTTTAAGGAGTATTTCTCATTGAGAGGGTGAGGGTTGCTGTTTCCCAGGTGAACACAGGATTTCACCTATTTTGTCAATCACAGTAATACTCAGCATCCTCAGAATTTCAGAGTTCACCTCTCACACCAATCCAGGATTCCAATCTCCTGACATTGTGATATCGTCAGCCTTACATAAGTAGATAAAATAAACTAGCAGCTATAAGACCACTAGTTAAAATCACACTTTTATAGCCTGACAAAAGGGATATATACATATTCATTAAAGACAGACAAACCTTTTAATTTTCCATCAAAGTTTGGATTAGTAGCTACTTTTAAGCCAGGATGAGGTAGCAGAAAACAGGAAATTTTGGTGAAACAAGAATGGATGTGTTTCCGAACATTCTGTAGTTCTTCATGCTGATTCCCTGAGACCTGCAGTAAATTATTTTGAAGTTTAAAGCACTTTAAATATAAATCAGACTTCACAAGAATTCTGTGACATATTTTCTATGTTTACCTGTACCCACAATGATAAAAATGATATGACAAGAAATAACAAAGTCTTGGGTGAATTTGCCATACAAGTCATATCTAAGTATAGCATACATATAATTACTACAATGAACAAATGCCTACTCCTATGATAAATCAGATGGGCCTTCCATTTGAAGGACAAATGAGTGGAATTTTACTCTAGTTCCTACAAATCTGTATTTTAACTTAAAGTATTCACAAAAGACCAGAATAAAAAGTATACTCCTACTTTTTTTTCAGGTGATACTCAGGATAACCTCTTGGCACCTGGTAGGTGTACATTTAAATTCTAGAAATGTATCTGAATAGTTAACTGTTTACTTGTGAGCTAAATTGCCCTTTTTTACTTGTTCTTTACAGTAGTACACACTACCCTAAAAGCAACAATAAACCTGAAAAAGGTAAGCTCAGAGATCCCAATTATCAGAGAAATTTTTAAAAATGTCATTTCCACCACCCCTGATTTCCTAGTAGATATTTTTGTGATTTTTTTCAATGTAAACAACTCAATGTTCAACATCATTTCATTAGAAAGTGGAAACTCTTCTAATTTCACTTTATAAATTCTTAACAAAATGGTCTAAGATTGACTTCAAGAATTTTAAAATTAGGTATTTCTGTTTAATTGACTTTTTCATTAAGGTATAACCAACATATAACTTTATATTAGTTCAGGTATGTATTAACAGAATAATGATTCAATATTTATATATATTGCAAAATGATCAACATAATACACCTAGTTAACATCTGTCCCCAGAGTTACAATTTTTTTTCTTTAGATGAAAACTTCTAAGATCTACTCTCTCAGCAACTTTCACATATGTGATACAGTGTTCTTAACAGTAGCCATCAGTTACGTATTATATCCTATGACATTTATTTTATAACTGGAAATTTTAGTTTTTCATCCTCTTCACCCATTTCTCTCCTGTCCTCAAATCCCCCACCTCTGGCAACCTGTGCTCCCTGTATCTATGAGCCTACTTTTTGCCTTTGTTTCTTTAAAGTCTACATTGAAATGAAATCATATGGTATTTGCCTTTCTCTGTCTGACTTATTTCACTTAGTGTAATGCCCTCAGGATTCATTCATATTGTCACAAATGACAAGACTTCATCCGTTTTTGTGGGTGAACAATATTTCATTGTGTGTGTGAGTGTATCACAATTTGTTCATTCATTTATCCATAGATGGACACAATTATTTCCATATCTTAATTATTATAAATACATGTGGCAGTAAACATAAAGGTGCCCATCTTTTTTAATTAGTGCTTTTGATTCATTTGGATTAAATACCAGAAGTGGAATAGCTGGATCATATGGTAGTTCTATTTTTCACTTTTTGAGCAACCTCCATATATTTTCACTCTCAGTTATGAACTGATTTAATTATTTTAAAGTTTTATATTTATGAATAAATCATTAGCTTACAGATATTCTACCAAAGAATTTTTGCATTATACTTATTGATAATATTTAAAATTATAACAAAGTATTTTATAAAATATCAATCTTCACTTGTTCATAGTGATACTATGAGGGTCAAATGAGATTATGGCTGCTGAGTATTTAGCAAATCATTCAACAAAAATAATTATAGATTACTACTGGCAAAAATTTTATGCACTTAAACTAACAAACCTTGAGGCGCTTTTCCAAGAATTTCGAGCCGCCGTCAGCTCCATATGAAAATTCATATGGAAAACTCCAGTCTCGAACAAGAAATATCAGACTCTAAAAAATGATAAGAAAAGAGGATTGATAAAGGGACTCTTAATTGCCTCCCCTTGCTTTTTACTGAACGATATTGTAGTTACTTGAATAGTGTCTTTCCCACATTATAGAATTAAAAAGCACACATGAAACCTTTGAAAGTTTCTGAGCAGTCTCTCCCCTATGAGATCATCCTGCCTATTTCTACTGCTTGTGAGCAGAAAGTTGTCTTCAAACTAAGATGAACACACATCACAGGAAATGAGAGACAGAAATAGCCTCAAACTGACTGACTGGCACCATGAAGTGTAATCAGATTTTATGTACAATATAATCCTATGAGTCTTCCTTTATGATGGCTATGGTTCACCTTTTTAAAAACAAATTATTTTGTTTTAATAGAAATGGTACAAATGCATGCTCATAATAAGAAGTTCAAACTATATATAGCAAAGCCCAGAAAAGAAATTTTTAAATGCACCCCAATTTTCTTGGTCTTTAACAGGCATCTTCCCAAGTTGACATATGAAAACCATGTGTGAAATATAAACTTTTTTTTTTAAAGATTTATTTATTTATTTATACAAGCACTGGGTACAGTCAGAAGTGTGGGAGGGTGAGAGAATTCACCAGAGTCGGAGCAGGGAGCAGAGCAGGCAGAAGGACCGAAGTACACTGCTGAGGGGAGCAGCGGGCGGCAGGAGAGGTCTGTCGCGCCATGTGGGACCCTCACCTGGTGGCCGGGGATCCAACCGGAGCTGCAGAGGCCGGGGGCAGCTTCGCAACCCATCGCTCAACTGCTGCGCCACCGGGGAGGCCCTAAACTCTTATTTTTTTCAAATCAACAATCTATTCTATCTCTACATAGTACTCAAATTCCCAAGTTCCCTTCCTGATCCCGCCATCCAGTGAAGTGCTAGTAAACTGAATCCCCAACACCAACAACAAAATGCCTTAATTTGTAGCATTTGCCAATTTTTGTGGTGCAAATATGTCCACCATGGCTGATTTGAAGCTACTAACAGTTTAATGATTGGCTTATATAATTCTCGAATATTTAGCTCTCATGAACTGGTATGAACAAACTACAGCTCACCCACTCTCTCCTAAGTTAATGCTTGTACACAGAATTCTGTGAATCTCAGTTCTTCAAATCCAATCTTTCCACGCTGCTGAATTTTTATTTAGCCATGCATATAGGTAGAGAAACAATAAAAAACATGGATAACTCTAATGTGCTCAGATAAAAAGATTTTAAGTCATACTTTTGGAAAATGAAATCAGCCAGACTACTAGGCAAATGATAGAACTAAGCTGTCCATATCCTATAATGATCATATGTATATTTTTAAACATGAAAACATGATAACCTTTGTTAAGTATCCTTTGGATATTATAACCTTTAGGAAATTATTCAAAAGGAGTCTTTTAGTAGTACTATGTGTAAAAGTTAAGACTGGGAAGAAATCTAAATAGTTAACTATTGAGAAATGGCTGTACAGACTATGGCATATTAATAGTATATTACATAACTATAAATATAAATGTGGAATATATCAGTAAATGTGATTATGTCAGTATAAAAAGCTTATACTAAATTTTATTTGAAATATAATGCTAAATTTATGTCTACCTCCACTATAAAAGTGAAAATACTCAAACACCTAGGTAAAGACTTAATTGAGCTACAGTTGTATAGCTACCAAATACCCAGTTTGTTTTTTTTCTTTTTTAAATTTAGTTTTTATTGAAGTATTGTTGGCTTATAATATTTTATGTTTTAGTAGGAGTCTGGATGGGTTCAAATTGGTACCATACATGCCCATCATCAAAGAACCAATAATTCATTCATCCCAGTTCATTGAGCCCCCTCCACCGTTGGCAATCCCTAACCTCACCCAAGATGGCTTATAACCTGCCTAGTCTATTAATTTCAGTTTCAGGTAACAAGTAAACACCAGAACTGGTTTTAAAGCTGTCTAACTAACAGCCCACTGAACGTCAACCAATCAGTGACAGCTTCATATTTTAAAAGTCTGCTGAGAAGTAGAGATCCACTTCAAAAAAATTCACTGAGGTTGATTATCAACCGATCCCTCGCCTGTATAACCAGCACAAAATATGCTTCTATATTGAACAACAACAAAAAACTTTAAAACTGATGTTGACCCATTCTTGCCTCTGTAAATCATGCAATTCCAAAACAGCCCCTAAATCCTACTTGTAATCATTAGTTTGATGTGATCTATGAGACTATGCCTCACCAGCAAAGCTTCTTTTTTACTTAATAAGGCAAAAATTCAGCTTTGGGTTTTGCACATGATTTTGAGTGATGGTTTAATCCTTGACAATTCTGAAAGTCTCATTGAAATAGTTTTGAACACCCTCAAGTGACAGCACTCTCTGTGACTCTCATTCTAACATGTGAATTCGCCTTGGCCTTTGTTCTCAAATTTCATTTGTTCTTAAAACTTACTTCCATGTACAACTGTCTCAGCAAAATATGAGTTCTGATTTGTGATTAATATGAGTTCTTGTTGCTGATTAATTTATCCTAGAATTTTGTAACCCATTGAACGTTTAAGTTCAAAGTCTTTGTATAGGGTATTTCAATCTTCAGTTTTGGAAATAGTCATCTGATATATAATTAGACATTTTTTAATATAAGGTTATTAGAACTTCTGGTTTGGAAGCACACCATTCAGTATATATGTTTGCCATTTATCTAATTATGCTTTTCCTGTTTGATCAGCTTTCTTTTTTTGACAACTTGTGCAAAGTTTGTTGCATATATTTTGCTTTGTCCCTTGATGCAGTGGTCAAGGCTTATGCTCCTCGCCAACAGTTGAATCCTTGTCTAATTAATTTAAAATATCTATAAAGCATCCTAGGAGTAATCTATGTATATATATAATCCCAAATATGTATATAATACTATAATTAGCAAACATTAATTGAACATCTGCTTGATGAAAAGCAGGTGCTCTAGGTTTTAAAAAGCAAGCCCAGAGCCTCCCTAGTGGCGCAAGGGTTAAGACACAACCTATGAGGCTGTCCACAGCCTCTGCTGTACCAGTTCAATCCCCCGGCCAGCCAGGGAGCAACCCACATGACACAGCAGACCTCTCCTGGCTTGCCCACTGCTCCCCTCAGCAGTGTACTTGGGGTCAATCTGCCTGTTCTGTTCCCCACTCTCTCTGGTGAATTGACTCACCCCCCACACCTCTGGCCTGTACTCCAGCTCTTGTATGCAGAAATAAATAAATCTTAAAAAAAAAAAAAGCAAACCCAAAGTTGTTGCTTCTAAGGCATTTATCATTTAGTTAGGTAGATGGCCACAAGATAAAGCTGGATTGGTGTCCAGGGTAGGAGGAAGAAGAGGCACTAAAGGATGGTCATTAAGTGCAAGGACTGACTCTGTGACCTAGATTGAAAGCTAGCTCTGCAATTTAAAGATACGTATGACTGAGGACAAGTTTCTTAGGTCCTCTAAGCCTCAGTGTTTCCTCATCAGTCATATCAACATTATTTATTTTGTAGAACTGTAATGAACATTCATTTGAATAATGTACGAAACACACAGCATAGAACCTGGCACAAAATAAGTGTTCAATAAATTGTGGTTATATTGGTCTTCTAAACATTTCATGTCCCTACATGTGGAAATTGGGAGAATCCTGACTTTAATTCTGTGTAGCCAGATGAGTATTTCAATTCATACAACTCTCTGATCACCTAAATTTCTCTCTGAATAGAACATGAATTAAGATGGCTTTCTCAGATAGCTGTCCTTTTCCACAGCCCTACCATCATAACTTTTCCTTTGATTTATAGTGCAAGCAAGCAAACAACAATCATTTTTTCAGTGAAGTCATGCATTTCTCTGGTATAACTTAGCAGTTACAGTCTTCATAGATATTTGATCTAGGATTTGTTTCAAAGTAGTTGAAATCTCTAGCGAAGAATTTATTCTGCAGATGAATTAAATTCTGCAGATTCTTAAATCATGGGAATAAAGGGTTCTTAAATGTGATTAAGTAAACTACAATAAAATAATTCCTACATTCCATTTTATGAAGGATTAACTTCATATAGTTGTACATTATTATATGCATCTTCTTCCTTTCCAGCAGTCTTCAGTTTTATCTTAAAACTGGCATGTATTGAACTGCTCACTAATAATTGCATCTCTACCAGAACGAAGGTGAAGAATTTAGTTTCACTTTTATCTCACAGAGAGGATTCAAAATTTCCCCCATCCCAGCTTTGAGATATAATTTATATATAACATTGTATAAGTTTCTTTTTAAGATGTATTTATTTTTATACAAAAACGGGGGTACAAACCAGATGTGCGGGAGGGTAAGCGGATTCACCGGAGAGAGAATGGGGAAACAGAACAGGCAGACCGACGGAAACACACTGCTGAGGGGAGCAGCGGGTGAGACAGGAGAGGTCTGTCATGCCATGTGGGTATCTCCCTGGCTGGCAGAGATCGAACCAGTACTGCAGAGGCTGCGGACAGCTTCACAGTGCTGTGCTCAACCACCTGCACCACAAGGGAGGCCCAACATTGTATAAGTTTAACATGTACAATGTGATTTGATATTACATATATATTTTAAATGATTACACAATAACATATCCATCACTTCATATAGCTACTATTTGTGTCACAATAACATATCCATCACTTCATATAGCTACTATTTGCGTATGAGTGTGTGTGTGTGTGTGTGTGTGTACATGCTTAGTCAAAGGCCTAGAATGTTAGGGGCCTTTAGATACATGAAAATGGTTAATGCTATTGGAGAAAACTTGAATGAATTCACTATCAAAAAGGTGGAGTACTTAAAGATGAGATAAAAGAGAAGAGGATAGATGTAAACAGTCCTAAGGCATATGCTCAAGAATGAAATAACACTTCAGAAAAGGGAATTGAAGTTCCTGTACAGGAAAGGTTTTGTTTTTTTTTTTTGGTCTTTCTTATTTTCCCATTATGAGAAAATTTTAATTACAAACCACACTGAAATGGCACCCCATATCTCTGTCACCAGAACCTCTCCTATCATAGATGATCTTTGCCATGATGAGCCTAGTTGCTAATTCAGTCCTCAAATATTTTTTAGCAATGGCCATGCTAATGCAGATTCCTAGGTCTTAGAACATGGATTTGATTCACTAGAACTGGGGCATAGCTCAGAAACATAAATTGTCTAATAAACTCCCCAGGTAATCCCAATTCAGGTTCCTAAAATATCTTGCCATATAACTAAGGCTGCAAACTTCTCAAAGGCCCATCTCTTCTCTGTTAGCCATATCAATCTATCTCAGAGTTCCCGTCCGTGAATCTTAGGGCTCCAATACCTCAGAGAGGTCCAGGAATAATTGGATATATTTAGGGCTCTGGCTTAAAGTGACCAGGGTTCAGCAATTTTGTGGCTAATATTTAAGTTTACTTATAGATAAAATAGGTTCTTTTGACGGGTCTACAAATATACCATACACCATGTAGAAAAACCACAGGTAAATGTATGTCTGAAAAAATTCATTCAAGTGATTCTTGAGAATATACTTTAGTAATTCTTTATAGCCTATTAATTAGAGGTCATGAGATAGCTAAAGAGTAAACTTCTGGGCTGGTGTAACAAAGAGGCTTCCTAGAGTCTACTCTCCAACATACTGTGGAAAATAGTTTTTAGCTCAGACCCAATAGGAAACTTACTGTTATGACCACACTATAGGACAATGAAATACTTGCCAGCCCAGCCCAGCATATTTGAGAGGACATGCATGATAAACATACATAGGGAAAACTGTAGAACCACACAAGGGATGATGAACCATTCCTGAAGTAGTAAGTCATTAATGACTCATTTATGAGAGAGCATTAGAGGAAGACAAACTTCTAGGGTCTTGAAACCCAGTCTGTAAATGAAACAGTTCATTTAAAGTGAATTCAAATGTCTTAACAATCTGAAACATTCATACAATTAGTAATAAGGATCCAAACTCAAGTTTTCAGTATTTCCAATGCAAGGCAATGTGGGGCCAGGTTTGGGCTGTAAAATTCCAAATGACCAAAGAAGAAAAATTCATAGACCAAAATAGAGATAAGTCTCCTATCACAACTGACAAGATCTTTTCACCAGGTTCTTATAGCAAACTGGAAATTATTGTCCAAAGTCCTTGTAAAATGTGCATTGGTGTTACATACAATAATAATTAATAGAAATATATTTAGTCATTTTCAAACCTTTTGAAGTCCTAAGGAAGAGACGCTAAAGAAATTACTGATTTTATAATAGTTATAATGATGAAGTAGCTCTAGGTTATTATACTAAAGACAAAGTTTCATAGTGGGCAAAGCAAGTGAGAAAATAAGTACTGTCATGTAGAGAATGCTGTGTGATGTCTTAATGGGGATTACATTTCCTGGGTGTGCTAAATAGTTCAGAGCTGACTCTTAACAACTTGCAAAGAGCAGTTGTTAAAATGTGAAGAATTTAAAGTCATTGGGCATGTTGCTAGCTTGGAATATTTACATCACAGAAATCAGCAAATGCTACAAATCAGATCCACCTCCTCCCTCTTTCCCAGTTTGTTGTAAACATTTAACAACATACCTCTGGCTCAACTTTACACTTCAATATAGTTTTTTTTTTTTTTTAATAGAGGCATGTTTTATTTATTTGTTTGTTTGTTTGTTTATACATGCACTGGGTACAGTCAGAAGCGCGGGAGGGTGAGAGAATTCACCAGAGCCAGAGCAGGGAGCAGAGCAGGCAGAACGACTGAAGTACACTGCTCAGGGGAGCAGGAGAGGTGGGACGGAGCAGAGCAGGCAGAAGGACCGAAGTACACTGCTGAGGCGGCAGGAGAGGTGGGACCCTCCTCTGGTGGCCGGGGAGCAGCCGGGGATCGAACTGGTGCGGCAGAGGCCGCGGGCAGCTTCGCAACCCAGCGCTCAACCGCTGTGCCACCGGGGAAGCCCCCTTCAATATAGTTTTTAACTATTGTTATTTAGTAGTCTTTTGAAAATATAATAATATGCATTGTTTGTTTTGTATAAACTAGCTTTTGGGTTCAAAAATCAAACTAGGGCCTCCCCTGGTGACGCAGGCAGTTGAGCAGCCGCACTGCGAAGCTGTCCCCAGCCTCTGCAGCGCCAGTTCAAATCCCACATGGCGCAGCAGACTTCTCCTGTCGCGCCCACTGCTCCCCTCAGCAGTGTGCTTCGTCAGTCGCCTGCTATGTTCCCAGCTCTGTCTCTGGTGAATCTTCTTACCCTCCCGCGCATCTGGCCTGTACCCCGGTTCTGGTATAAATAAATAAATAAATCTTAAAAAAAAAAAGAAACTAACCTATTAATTCAGCATTCATTTAACTTGCTAATTGTCCTGACTTTTGCTGCCTGAGTTAGACCTTATTTATTATCAATAACTTCAATGTTTCTGAGTAAAGAATATTTCATTTTTCTTAAATTTAGTTTAATTTTAGTACAAAGTTTCTTTTTATTTCCTTATTCCTCACCTTACTTTCTCAAGCAAGTTTACAATTTTTCCTAATTTTCCTAAAAAGCTTACAATTTTATCCTAATAAAATAAACTATCTTCTCAGAAAAAGAACATAGGCATGACCTGCTTTTTAAAAAGAAAGAAAGAAAAAACTTACTGAATAAATTGAACTTTTATTTAAAAGTTATTTTACTTTGAATTTTTTTCCATATGCTTTTTCTAATTTACATGTGAACTATTTTGCTGACATCTTACATTCTGAGACTTAAATATAGTTAATTTTTATCTTTTAATTTTATGATATGTAGTATTTTTGTTTTGAATTTGATTGCTTTAGTTTCAAATATTATTAAATGGTTTTGGAAGCCACTTTTCTTACTTAATGATTTTAATTTCAATTTCAGATACTTGGATTTACAAGTCCAAACCTGTTTAAAGTCATTGCTGACTCATTCAGCCAATATTATCTTTTCACTGACATTTCAAAATACCAACAATTTACCAACAAGTGACAGTCTCTTAAAGTTTTTTTTCTGTTCAATGGTATTTTTTACCTAGTCAGTAAATAACTGTTTGTTTGTTTGTTTACTACCAGATCATATTAATTGTTCTCTCTTTGGTTTTAGAATATCTGGCAAAGTGTAAGAAGTAGTGACATCTGCTGGTAAGCCCTAAAATCCCTGTCCAGAATTTATATTGTTCCCGTGTTCTATCAATGGGTCCTTGAAAGAAACAGATTCACAGAAGCAAAAAATCAGACAAATGATTTTAAGAGAAAAGATGTTAACAGTATCCAGTTGGCATAGTAAACAATATAGCAGATTGCAAGTCAGGACTGGTTTTATTTGATCTCATCTCCTCTACCCACCCCATCCCCAAACTCAAGGAAGAGATTTATACTCCTTGACTCAAAACATACCATCATCTCTCCATGCAAAGGCCTCTTTCTTGCTTTATCATGTTTTTCCCAGATCCCCACTCCCATTCCTCAGCTGTGTTCACAGCCACACCCACTCAAATCTATATCATGTCTGTCTGTAATGTTCTAAATAATCATAAGTAGTATGTTATAGACATTTTTTTCCATACTTAATTCAGTATGAATTTTAACACCTTATTCATGCTAATCTAATTACTGCTGGTGCATTGCCTTTGGATATTACAAAGTATTCTAGAGTGTGCTTTTCATATTTTATGTAACCATTCCTCTAGTAATAGACTAAGTTTCCTTCAACTTCCTTCTACTCCCACTCTATCAAAGCTATAATGAATATCCTTGGACATCACCCTTGATCCATAGGGTCTAGCTATTCCAATCTGCACTTTTACCAAGAGGGTCTGAGTGTTGCCATTTATTCAAATCCTAGCTATTGTTTGGTGTTCTTCCATGTTCTACTTTTTTATCTGTCTATTGAGTGTAAAAGTGGTATCCCATTATTTTATCTGATTACTAGTGAGACTTGACATCCCTTCACAAATGTGTTAGCCAATTCGGGTTTCCTTCCAGAGAATTCTCTATATATCCTCTGCCTTTTTTAAAAAATTAAGTTTAGTTTATCATTTCTGAATGGTTTGATTTTTTATTTAAAAAACACTGGTATAATCAATTCCAAAGAGTACCTGCACCCCTGTGTTTATAGCAGCACTTTTTATAGCAGCAGCTATTTACAATATTTATAGCACTATAAATTTATAGCACTATAAATATTGTAAATATTTATAGCTATTTACACTGTTTATAGCAGCAGCTATTTACAATAGCTAAGCTTTGGAAACAACCCAAATGCCCAAAAATAGATGACTGGATCAAGAAGATATGATACATATACACCATGGAATATTACTCAGCATTCAAAAAAGATAAATACATGCAATTTGGAGCAACATGGATGGAGCTGGAAGGGATCATGCTCAGTGAAATAAGCCAGAAAGAAAAAGAAAAATACTGGATGGTCTCACTCATAGCAGGAATCTAGAAAACCTAAATGAGGGACCAGGAAAAAGAATAACTATAAGAAAGAAAATATCAAAATCAACAAACAACTATGAACCAGAGACACTCTATGGGGAGTGGGGGGCGGGGAAAGGAGGGCTTGGAGTCAAAATAAGGGGGTTGTAATTGTATGGGGAATATAAAAATAAAATTTAAATAAGAATAAAAAAATTTAAAAATAAAAAAAATTTATAAAGCAAAAAAATAAACATAAAAAATAACACTGGTTTATAATATTATATAGGCTTCAGATGTATAACACTGTAAATCAATATCTGTATATACTATATTATACTCACCATCAAAAGTCTAGTTCCCATCCATCACCATACAATCAATCTCTTTTACTTCTTTACTCTCTCTGGTAACCATAATTTTGGTCTTATAGTCTATATTTGTCTTACTTTGATCACTTAATTGTTTTGTTTATTTACACATGTATGAAATCATATGGTGTTTGTCTTTTTTTGTCTAAGTTATTTCATTTAGCTTACTACCCTTTAGGTCCATCCATGTTGTTGCAAATGGCAGGATTTCATCTTTTTCCCCCTGTTATAGCTGAGAAGTATTGCACTGTGTGACTATATAACACATCTTTAAAGATTCTTTAGAGCAGTTTTAGGTTAAATTAAAATGAGAGAAAGGTACAGATATTTTCCATATATTGCCTGCTCCTACTACAAATGTATACCTTTCCCCAATATCAAAATGACTCACCAGGATTAGACAGTTTTACCAAGAATGAACATACACTGACATATCATAATCATTCAAAGTCTGTTTACCACAGGGCTCACACTCAGTATTGTACGTTCTATGGATTTAGACAAATATATAATTACTCATCATTATAGTATCATAGAGTGTTTTCAGTTCCCTAAAAATCTTACGTGTTCTGCCTATTTGTTTCTCCACCCCAGGCCCCTGATCCCTGTAGCCACTGATCTTATCACCTCCATAGTTACACCTTTTCCAGAATGTTATATAGTTGGAACAATACAGTATGTAGTCTTTTCAAATGTAGTTTTTTCACATAGTAATACGCATTTAAGGTCTTTAATATCTCTTCATAGCTCGATAGCCCATTTCTTCTCCGTTAGTACCCATTCCTTTCCTTGGGCTCTATCTTCCCTTGGATCTCAACAATTTACAGTGTTACTAATGCTCATATATTCAGATAAATATTTAACTCTCTGTATTTGATTGTTGTTAGCAAGGCTGATCCATATTACTTAGTCTTCATTTACTGAAAGCTTAATACATTTACCTAATTTAAGAATATTTAATATGCCCATATAACAGTATCCCTCCAGGATGGTGTTTAGTCCAGAATAGATGATGTTTTCACTTCCATGATTAAGTTATAAAAAAGACTGTGGCTTTCCTTTTGGTCACTCTCTTTTGCAATGTGGTTATTTATTTTGTGGAAAACCTGCTGTGAGCAGCCCTATGGAATAGTTCCATGTGGAAAGGACATGAAACCTCCTGCCAAGAGTCATGTGATCGAACTTGGAATTGACCATCCAATCAAATCATCAGAAAATGTCTCCCTGGTCAACACCTTGAGCATGACTTCAAGAGACCTTAGGTGAATATCGCCCATGGTAAGTCACTTCAGATTTCTCACCCTCAGAAACTGTGTGAGGTAATAAGTGTGATTTTAGGATAATTTGTTATATGGCAATAGATAACTAATATAACCCGCTTAAAATTACTTGTCATCTGAGCCTTATCATTTGTTCAGTTTCCCTGGGTGCTCTCATTCTCCTAGAGGCATTACTCACAGTGGCTGAGGATAAAACTGGGGAGAGAAGCTAAATTCTAAAACTTAACTTGAGCCCCCTCTGGTAAGCTTAGACTGAAGGTGTCAGACTGTGGTCTTTAAATCTGTATCTTCCCCAAGTTACTATTTCCAAGGACTGTTTGCTTAGTTAATATCTCTTAGTTCTTGGTATATGAGGAGGAGTAAAGGGAGAAGGAAGCATTAAAGGGCAGATAGCCTGCTTTACCACCCAATTCAAGCTTAGATATGATCCTGATGTTATCCTGCTGACCCCAGCAAAGGCTGAGCTGGTTGCTGTTCTTCTGATAGTCAGTGCAGTGGTGCAGGTAATGGTTCACACAGGTCAACGCATAAAAAAAGAAAAGGATACCTCCAAAATATTTGCTCCCATTCAGTACCCTTTCTCTCCAGATTTTCCTGTAGCTTGCACCTACTTCCTATTGTCCCAGGAGACATGCTTAATTTTTTAGCTTTTATGTTAGAAAATTCATAATTTTTCTTCTGGTTTCTGTGACATCTCTAGGTTCAGGAGAGAAAGGCTGATACTCTTGAGAGAACCATGATATCTAAATCATCTTTTTATTTTCCTACTTCTTTTTTTAAAATAATTTTGTAAAATTTTATTTCCTCAGTTTTACCTCTACCTTGTATCAAACAGCATTAAATCAGTATTCAAGAGTGCTTCTTGAATGAAATAAATAATGAGAGATGAAACATGACCCTCTCAACTAATTAATATATCTAGTTAGAGTCTCTAAAACTAACTTAGCATCATTATATAGCCACTCACCTGGAATGGCTTCAGGAAAGTTTCCTCCATTGCCAATCTGCCATACTCAGTAAAGAGCTACAAGAAAAACACACACACACACACACAGAGAGAGAGAGAGAGAGAGAGAGAGAGAGAGAGACAGAGAGAGAGAGAAAACTTTAGTAACTGCAATGTTTTATTTATTGGCTTTCTTTCATTTATTTTTCCCTAGCTATAACATAGTACTGTATTATTAATATTATAATACTCAAATCCTTAGTTATAAAAAACTAAGAATTAGATAAAGCAGAGTGACAGTAACTAGATATTTAAAAATTAAGGGTATGAAATACGTTTTTTTAAATATTTCCACTTTAAAGCCAATACTTTTCCATTTTAAAACTAATTTATCTAGAATATAGGAGGATTTTTTTGTAGGGAAGGTAAGGGAGAAGAAAATATGTTAAAAGAAATTTCACAAAGCAAAGCTTGAATAGATTAGATCAGAGAACCATAAGCTATGTAGGATATATTTACAAAAGTTGTTGACTGCAGAAATTTGATAGCACAATGGCATGGATTATTACAAAGGCATATAGGCACTTGGCTTAAAAGTAGGTAATCAAATACACTGCCTTCTCCTATTTTTTTCTGCTCTCAATTGAAAGGTACCTTATCAGTTTTTGTGTTGCCAGAAATGTAAGGTTTTGGAAAACACAGACCTGAGTGGGTGACTGTGATTGGGTCTCTGGGGAGAGTTTTGTTGAGACTAGTTAAGTGGATTCCTGGTGTCCCCAGGAAACTTCATGTACAAGAGTAACAAATATATATGCACTTCATATACAAGTTAACAAACCACAGCTGTTTCACAGAGCTGGGGAAGAATACTGACAGAGCTCTCCAATCTCTTGTCCCCTTAGAATAACTCCAACAGAATTACACTGCCTCACCTGCAGGATTTATGGAATCTAGAAAGCCAAGGGTAGTTACTAAGCATACGATTAGATGATTAAATGAAGGTGTGGAATATATCGAATAGGCATTTGGCCAAGAGATTAGATACTCTCATTAGAATCTTCTATTAACATAATTTGAATTCATTATCTCTTTTAAGGAAGGCTGAAATGTTGTCATTTACAAGAACATTTTTATGATTTAAAAAAAAAATTAGTTGATATCAATCCTAGATCAGTATTTTTTTTTATAAATCCCTTAACTGATACTAAACAGTACCATTATCATAAATTTGGAAAGTAACTGGCTAGTGTGTGACAAGTGCCTGAAAAAGTAATTGTGTTTATTATAAGAAACATCTAACAATTATTCAGCTTGTTGCCTATTTGTCATAAATGGTCAACGTGATGTGCCAGAAACATAGTTGAGAACAATGCTGGATGTGAACGCCATGTGATATTTCATATATCACAGATTACCCTGTTCTACTACCCTTTGTTATCTGTTAAATTTGCACATTTTGCTATATGGCTCCTATAGCCAAGATAAAATAAAATATTGAAAGGAAAATTTTTTATAAAACATGCACAGGGAAACTATAAGAGAACAATAAATTTTGCTATGTAACCAAGAACAGCATGAACTGAAATGGAGCACAGGATGTTACAGATATGTGGGCTATATTTAGGAAATATCTGACTTTTTATTTATTTGAAATTTAAATGATTCTTAAAGAGTGGAAGGAGGACTGAGCCTGAGCTAAGTCAGAAGACCAGATTTGTACTCCTACTACATCACTATTAGCCACATGAGTTACGCAAATCATTTCCTTGTTTCAGCCAAATTTTTCTCACCCTATAAATAAAAAAGCTAAGTTAGGTCCCACTGAAGTCTCTTTCAGATTTAAAATAGAATTCTGTGAGTTGTCATCAGATAGCATAGGCATGTGACCTAAAAAGTGGTTTCTATAGTTATTAGGTTTATAATGTGGTCCATGGGGAAAAAATTTTGGCATATAGTTTATATCACCATAATAATTACTAAATCCCTGACCTTAAGTATTCAACTTCACATTTTGGGTAATTTTTAAACCAAAGACTCTCTCTATTATATTCTGTCATATATTTTCACATACACAGGGCTAGTAAGAAGCTGCTTTAGAGAAATGAAGGAATTTGAAAGCTGAGAACCTAATCATAAAGAGCTGGAACAAGAAAGCTGGGAATAGGAAAATTTCCTTTTTGCTTATATTCCTAAGTCTTTATAAGTCATTAAGTTTTCCAGATAGAAGGAAAACCCTCAAGCTCCATTACACATGCTACCAAATTACCAAATATGTAAAAGATTACCAGATAAATAATATACATATTGTTACCTGGAGGTGTTGAAGATCATCCTCTTGGACATTTTGGGATAAGTTATATACCTTGATAAAGAAATAAAGTCAAAATGAGAAAAAAAAAAAAAAAAGCATCATCTTAAAAACCTTGCTCTCTTTTTCTAAAAAAAATTACAAAGTCAAACTTTGCTACATATATTGTTGTATAATTATAAATATAAGACCATAAGAAAGGAGTAAATGAAGCATAACAGACAATAAACAGTGATCATAAAATTGTTCCAGAAATACAGTAGCCACCTGCTCTGGATAGAGAATATTAAAATTATTTTATGACCTAGTTTAATGGCCAATAAAGTAATCACTCTTAATAAGCATGCCAAATAATAGCACTATAAATATGAGTCACACATAATACAAAAATTTATCTTAAAAAACTATGTTGACTTCTCCATAATTTATTGTTTTAGTCATGTCTGCAGAAAATTTTATCACATGGAAGTTATGAATGTCATGCTTATATCCTTATGTATATGCATTGTTTCATCAACACATCACAGCATTAAAATGACATTCTTTTTTTGGGAAGAGGGAATAAGAAGTAATGTCAAAGAAAATTTAAGGATGTTTATATGTTTATGTACAGATTATTTATCAAGAAATAATAAAAATAATTATTATTAAGGAATTAGATTTTTCAATGAAAATATTCAGTGCCCTCAGGTAAAATACAAAGTAATAAATATTGAAATTCAAATTCACTCTGGTTTTTAATTGGCTTATATAAACAGCTTATATTCTCAATTATGAAGAAAATAGATATTAAGTTTTTTTTTTTAAGATTTATTTATTTATTTATCATTTATACAAGCACTGGGTACAGTCAGAAGCGCAGGAGGGTGAGAGAATTCATCAGAGCCAGAGCGGGGAGCAGAGCAGGCAGAAGGACCTAAGTACACTGCTGAGGGGAGCAGCGGGCGGCAGGAGAGGTCTGCGTGCCATGTGGGACCCTCCTCTGGTGGCCGGGGAGCAGCCGGGGATCGAACCGGCGCTGCAGAGGCTGCAGGCAGCTTTGCAACCCAGCGCTCAACTGCTGCGCCACCAGGGAGGCCCAGATATTAAGCTTTTTAAAGGCCCATTGATTTAAGAAGCATATGCTTAAAAGCAAGTCAATCACAGGTTATAATAATAACTTTTATTTTAGCATCCTTTCTTTAAAATTCAGTCTTCTTCTACCCACCGTCTTGTGGTGGTCCTAACCACTCACGATGCCCTGGCTGTTGGTTCACTAGCTACATTCTCTCTGTTCACTTATAATTTCAGCCTTGACTTTTCACCTTATCCACAGTGCCTTATCTAACTTGGTAAAAATCTTACCTTTCTTTAATGTTTTATATCATAACCACTCTCTCATTTTGCTCTCTCTAGTAAATAGAAAGTATCTAAAATATACTATATAGTAAAAATCTCTAAGGACATTCAGGACAATTTATAAAACCTACAATAATCTAAAAAGCAGCATTTTAAAAGAGGCAGTAAAAGAGAAATGGAAAGAAGAGGAGGAGAATTTTTTAAGATAACTATTTTCCTAAGTATACATTAAGATGTTTTAAGAAGTCATGAACACCCATATGTTTTCACATTTAGAAATGTTTCCACTAGCTCTGTATGCAAAATAAAATTTTGCATTTATAAATCTTGTTTCATTAAATATAACTTATAATAGGTGGTCCCAATGTGTCTGCATACATATTAAGATTTAATATTATTGAGTTTATCGTGGAAACAGAAAAAGTTATCAATAAGATAATGTAATCTCTGGCTTGTACCCCAGTTCTTGAATGTATAAATAAATCTTAAAAAAAAGAAATTAGACTACAGTTACAACAATTCTATTCATGGAAATCATAAGATCTTGTATGCTAGTTAAACCAAGTAACATATTATTTACCATTTCTGTTATTTCACTACCATACATATGTAGAAACACATATATATTCATAATGTTTAAAGAAACAGTTATCAAAATGATTTATTTTTTCCATACCTGTATTGAGCTGATCATTGTGCTAAGGGCAAATACTGTGGCTGAATCTCTTAAAGTTGACTGACTATCAAAGGTTCCCTGAGTATCCATCAATAACACTGCAACCTACAGACAAACAGTATATTATTGACATTTTATAGAAAATATAGGGCATTAGATTACCATAATTTCAACACCATAAGAACTAAAGAAAACTATTAGCAATGAATAGTTAATAGGTAATTTTTATGTGTGCCATGAATACCAGAGAAGATGAAAATAATTATAATATTAATATTAATTATAATAAAAATTAATTAGCTGCTCAATACTGTATTGATTAATTTCCCCTGGAAATCCAACATATAGGACTGAAGCAAAGTATAGATATTAGCTTCTTGATCTGCCTTTTATTGTCCCTACTATTTCGTCTACCCTGGTCATTAGGAAAACAGGCCAAGTGGATAAAATTAATTTTCAAAAGAGCATTTTCATGGATTCTGAAAAGTTGGAACTGTTGCAAGTGAAAATTTTCTTTTAGAAGTTTGCATCATACCTTTTTACCATCAGGTTTATTAATAAGGAAGATTTCACTCCATATCTGGATTCCTGTGGTTTCTCGTTCAGACCCACCTCTCCATGAAAAACCGGTCAGCGGTTCATTGTAGTCTCCAACCCAATCAACTGATTCCTATAAATTAAGAAAGTCTCTGATATGGAAATATATATGTGGTATATTTTTTCACTTTCATTCATTAATTTATTTGGTTTGTATCGCCTTCCACCTCTAGTCAAAAGGAAACCATATGTGCAAATCTATTGCATTGACATAATCACTTTATTCTTCTAAAAAATAATTATATTAGGAGCAGCTGTCTGCCATACTTTATCCTAGTTCCTGGGGATACATAGATATCATTCTATACCAAAGGAAACTCACATGCTAAATGGGAGTATATATGACACATAAATGAAAGGATAGGAAAAGAAAGAATTAACTTTTGATCTGAAAAGAAGACTTCATAGGAGGTGTGATGGAGGGTTGTTTAGGGATTTTCCAAGTCAGCAAACTTAGGGAGAGCATTTCAAAAAGAAAGGAAGATATAAGAAAGCCCATTATATCAGAATGTACACAAATGCTTTAGTTTGGAGCAAGGAGGGAGTGAGTAACAGGTAGAGAGACACCTAATACTAGGTACAGAAAAAGAAAACAAATTTGGTATACTTTAAGCCAATTCTATTTAACACAAGTAACACAAATCCTATTGAATATTGTATTCTAATGTTTACTTAACAGTTAAAAACAACTATACCTAAAACTATATAATCCCAAAGTATGGAAAATATGCTAATTTTTTAATCAAATTTTCCCACCTTTATAAGTAGTACACTAATGTTGGTATGCTAGAAATAGGAATAGTAAGGGTTTTGTTTGCTTTCAAAGTTGAATTATTTTGGTATTTCTGGTCTTAATTTGTCTGAACTAAGGCTAGAGGTAGAAGACACAAAGTTAACATTATAAAATTGCTCAAAAATACTCCAACTGTGAAAGATCAATCCAAAGTGGATAGTAAAGATATATAACACAAAGTTTGTTTGGGTTGTTATATATTTTGTCTCAACATCCACACTGGCATCATAATTTCTGTGGGTAAAAGATATATATGGGGGGGGTGGTATGCTCTCCATTCCCAAGCATTTCCCCCCCATGCTAATCTCCAATCTATCCTTCTGCTTTTCGTTTATCCTAGGTCCCTTAATATCTCACTTCTTTGCCACATTGTTGTCTCAAATGCACTGCCTCTGAGAGTGGAATAAAGGTGAGAACTAAGTGGGAAAAGTAAAGAGGGAAGTTTCTGGGATAATGACAACATATACTTGATAGGATTGCAAGATTAATAGGCATATACATTTAAAAAAATAATTAAATTGAATGTGCACTTAAGATTTGAGCATTGAATTATAAATTTTATAATGAAAGAAAAAACTAAATGAATACTAGGTGAATAAGTAATGTATATTGAAACAGTTATGAAGAAGTATACTGATGTCAGCAATTTACCTTAAAATTAACCAAAAAAGTAGATGGGGTGATGAATGAAAAGAAAAAAAGAATAACTAGAGACACATGATGAAGCAAAAATATTAATGTTAATGGTAGAATATATGTAAAATTCTTTTAAATTCTTGATGTATACTTGAAAAATGTCATAACATTTGGGGGGAAATGATTATTATAAAAAAGTTAAGATAAAAATATTTGACATTTTAAGCCCTGTAACAAATTTATAATCATATTTCTGTGCCATGTCTGTTTCCTAAAGAGTAAAAAAATAAGGCCTTACTAAGGGAAATGGAGCAAAGTGGCTTCCGATAAAAGGAGTCTCTGTTTGGAGTAATCTATTGTTTGGAGTCCAAAGAACTGAAGATTGAATGGCTACATCATAGCATTATTTAACTAGTTCATATTTGGGGTGCATAAAAATGAAAATGGAAATATTGGGTACTGCCAAATGAAAAAGTGATAGAGGCACAGGAGCAATAAAACTTTTTAAAGCACCTCTCACATACCTGATTGTACATGTATCGCAACATGAAGTCCATCAGGAATGATTTTCCTTTTCTAAATGCTCCAGCAACAGATACCGCAACGACCTCCTTATCCCTGACAGCTTCCGAGAGAAGGATCCGATTTAGTGCAGTTTCATCTAACTCAAAGGAATGGTCATCTTTAACAATAAGGACTTGGACTGGCCCTGCCTTTTTCACAGGCTCTTCCTCTTCTGAGCTCCATTCATATGTCTTTTCTGAAAGCCCACCTGTTGAATAAAACAATGATTAATTCAGTCAATCATCTCAAAAATATCAAGATGTGTATATTTACCTCTCAACTTTCAAACATCTAAAAAATAAACATGATGTAGTGACATATATTAATGTCATTAACACCATATCTTAGAAAGACATCTGGTCTTTCTGTTCATGTGATTTAAACAGAATTTTATTTTCAAGAAAGTTCTGAGTGCAGACATCTATATTTGTTGAGTGGGAAGGAAAATCAAAGCAATGGACTCTAGTTTTAGAGCAGAGAAATAATATGGCTTTAATTCACACTTTCTTCATCCCCTAAAATAAATTTAGGTATTCACATGAGGGATTCTTGCAACATATATAGGAAGAAATACATAGAGGGACTTAGAATCACATATTCTCGAGATTCAAATACATCTGTAAAGAACCTATAGTTCTGCTCCCTCTAATGTATACATCCCATTTACAAAATCCTAGATTTTTAATTGTCTAAAATTATACCTTGTAGTGATGGAATGACAGATAATTAAATGGGTAGGGCCATTAACAGATATCAACAGATATTTAAAATTTATAGTGGGCCTCCCCGGTGGCGCAGCGGTTGAGCGCTGGGTTGCGAAGCTGCCCGCGGCCTCTGCGGCGCCGGTTCGATCCCCGGCTGCTCCCCGGCCACCAGAGGAGGGTCCCACATGGCGCGCAGACCTCTCCTGCCGCCCGCTGCTCCCCTCAGCAGTGTACTTCTGCCTGCTCTGCTCCCCGCTCTGGCTCTGGTGAATTCTCTCACCCTCCCGTGCTTCTGACTGTACCCAGTGCTTGTATAAACAAAACAAACAAACAAACAAACAAATAAATAAATAAAACATGCCTCTATAAAAAAAAAGTTAAAAAAAAAATAAAATAAAATTTATAGTGATTAAGACAGGGTGATATTATCACAAGGACAGACACATAGACTAAAGATTTCAGAAACAGACCCACACATATATAATCATATGAAATACAACAAAGGTGCCACTGCAATAAATGAATAAATGATGATCTTTTCCACAAAAGATATTAAAATCAATTGGATATTTATATGGGAGAAAGCTGAGCTTTCTCCCCAGCTCCATTATATATAAAAATTGATTTCAAATAACTCATAGAGCTTAAATGTGAAATAGGAAAAGTAAACAAAGGATGTAAACAATCAACTGATAAAAGCCACAATATCAGATATTTCCACACACATGAAAACATGCATCCTCATGCAAGTAAAAGATGAAAAAAAATTATGTCTTTTTTATAGATCAGATTTACAAAGATCAGAAGTGTGATAATTCCTTTCATAGGTTGAGATGTAATGCTACCCCAGACATTGCAGATGGGAATTAAAATAGATACCAAATCTTCAGACAGTAATTTTATGAATAATCATCAAAATTACAAATGCATATTCTCCTTCACCAAGCAATGCTATTTCAAGGAATTCATCCTGCAGAGACACTTACATGCATGCAAAATGCCAGAAGCAATGTAAATGCCAATCAAGTAACTGATTAATAAACTATGGCTTATACACCTATGAAATATAAGATAGTTTTAAAGAATTAGAAAGCTCATTTTAAACAATTGCCACATATATTACAAAAAAAAAATAAGGTAGACAGAAGTGAGTATAGCATGGTAACACTGAGGGAAGAGTATATTAGAGGTTATGTTTGAGGAATAGCAAAAAGTACGATATAAGTGGAGCAGGTTGAAATGGTTATTAGGGGCCAGATCAGGGACAAGGGAATCAAGAATATTCTCTAAAGAAAAAGACAGTTTCTTCCATGGATGATAATGGGATAACTGAATATTCACATGTATAAGAATAAAACCAGATCCATATATTTCAGCAATCATAATAATTAACTCAAAATGGATTAAAGACAACTGTAAGACCTAAAACCATAAAATTCCTGGAAGAAAACATAGGACCAAAGTTCACTGGCATGGGCCTTGGTGATAATTCTTTGGATATGACACAAAATACAAGCAACACAATAAAAACTAAACAAGTATGACTACATCAAGCTAAAAATCTCTGCACAGCAAAAGAAGCCATTAACAAAGTGGAAAAGACAACCTATGGAATGGGAAAAAATATTTGCAAACTATGTTTCTGATGAGGGGTTAATATTCAAAATATATAATGAACTAACTACAGGATATATTACCATAGAATACTGACCAAAATTTTTAAAATATCAGGTCACTTCTACAATAAATATTTTGCCTTGATTTAGGAAATAAATTTTTCCTGGAAGGGTTTTATGTATGATGCTGAGGTACTTAGAAACCCCAGTTCTTCTGTTTTTAATCAATTCATGTGATGGACTCTGCCGCATTGGCAACAAACACTGCCAATCAAATCTCTGACACACTTCAAGGAATGGTTCAAGTCTTACATCCTCTGAGAATTTCATTATTTTAATTTCATCTCCAGTGATTTCTCCTGGATTTGCTAAAAAGTGAGATGAGACAGCTGGACTGTGATTCCAGAAGTCAGTGGTGGAAACGGAGGAAGAGATGGAACCGATACACTGGCTGCAGAGAACAGGTCTAACTAAGAAACATCTTAAAGACACTAGGTAAGCTGAGAAGATAGTTTAGATATGTTTAAAAGGGAATCTTCAAAATTTTTAAATGTGAAGAATAATCATTTTAATATCCTGGAAATGCTGAGGGAGTATATTTCTAATTTTCTTAATTATAAACGTTGTAAAAAAAATCTATACTTCATCTTTCCAGCAAAAATTAATCCCCATACAATGATGAATTCCAAGCACACTGGAGTCATTATAGAGAAAAAGTACAGCACCTAGGAAACTGTCTCTCAGCGACTATAATTAAAAGTAAGTTTTTTCTAAACTAGTGTATCTCTTTCCATTGTAGAATTTGAAAAGAATCACAGGAAAAAAAAAACCTGTTGTCTGAATGAGAAATCAAGAATGACTTCTAAAATAATAGCAAAAGAAGGTTAATACATAAAGGGACAAGGGAAGTTTGAGGAAACAAACTATTAATTTCTAAAAATGAACCTTAAGAATGTCTGAGCAAGGAAAGAGATTTAAGTTATAATAAAATGATTGTACCTGACAGATCTCAGGTATAATGCTGATTCTCAGGTCACTCAGGTGTTAACAATAAGCTTGAGGGAGATTAAAAGAAATAATTCAGATCCTACAACTTCAGAGTCTTAGAACAAATAAGTAAATCTTTTAACAAGCTATCTATTTTTATTCAATACAAAAGTATTTGATAAACTATTTAGTGGATGCCTCTGGAAGAAAAATGCCATAATGATTAAGGCCATGTATATATGAATGTTTGAATGTGTGTGTGTGTGTGCATGTGTGTGTGTGTGAAAAGACTTCAATAGAAAGAGAAGTGTAACTGATAAAAAAAAAGAAATACTAAATGTTAATAGACATATGGGGTAAAATTCAGTCATAGTTTAAAATGCAAATTAAAATGAGACAACTTTTTGGCTATCAAATGTAACGAAAGTTAAAATGTATACGTATATTGATATATATACACACACTCAAAGTTGGAAACATTCAAAAATATTTAAAAATACAAATACTCTTTAATGAAACAATTCTGTTTCCAGAAATTTACCCTAAGAAAATTAGCAGGACAGTGCATATTTGTTTATATACATAAAGGATCATTTCACCATTTTTTTATGCTAACCTAGAAATAATCAAAATACTGAACTGTAGAATACTGTAAATAAATTATGTTACAGCTATATTATGCAAAATATGGAACCATCTGAAAATCATGTAATGAAAAAATACCTAATCATAAGAAAATATGTTCACATAATTTAAGAAAAAAAGCAGATGGGAGTGTAATTCCCATTAAGGAAGACAAACAAATATACATGTGTTTACAGTATATTTGGGAAAAATCAATTTTAGAAGTGTTCAGTTTGTAAGGAAATTTTTAGTCCTTAATCATTCTTGAATCACCTATTTAGGGAAGAAAGTTTGCTTTTTGTGCTGAATGCTCAGCCCTGTCTCCACCATTCTAAGCTCTTTCATGTTGCAGACTGGAGATGTGGAAACTACAGTACTACAATTCTTATAACCCCTTAGCAGTGTTTTGGTTTATATTTTATCAATGAAAAGTATTCACATATTTGGAAGAGAGAGCAAAGGAGAAATCTTTATTGCCTTTTAACAGAATAGACAGTGAATAGATACATCCATGAGACTTGTAGTACATGTCAAAGATAGAGAATTGCATCAGTTCATGGACAGTAGCTAACATTTTGGCTGAATGATGAGGTACTTTGAAGAAATATGTGAACGGATCTTTGAAATAGGCATAGAGTATAAATATATTTGGTCCCAAGTGAAAGTTCATCAAAGGCACTCATTGCAGAAAGATTCTCAATAATCAGATGGACACTGACTTATTTTGTGGATACCAGTTAGCATAAGTATCCCAGCCACTCCTGCTCAGCAGTTACACAAACTAAATCAGAAAAAGAAATATGAAGCATCTATTTAATATCATAGAAAACAAACTGGTGGGGGGAGCAAAAAGCATTAGTCAAGATAAAGAGACTCACCACAGAAAAATGAAAGATTTAAATTATCAGGAAGATATAAGAAGTCCACATTTGTGTGCACCTAACAACATGGCTAAAAATTCTATAAACAAGAAAGCTTGACAGAAGATCAAGGGAAAATAGACAAATCCACTGTCACATTTTAAGATATCTCAGCATTTAAAAATATCTGTCAACTCTCAATGTCTGATACATTAAGTGATCCAAAAATCAGCAAGAGTATGGAAAATCTGAACAATGCAATTAACAAGCTTGTGCTAATAAAGAGCACACTACATAAAAATCTAGAAAGCAAAATGCTTTTCAAAGTTTATATGGGATAGTTATAAAGATTAACATGAGCTAGGTCATAAAGCAAGTTTCAACAAAGTTCAAAGAATGGGTATTCTATAAACATGAAATGCCCCATAATATTGTAGCCACTAGTCTCTTATAGCTGTTTAAATTAAATAAAATTAAGTGTTTGGTCATCATTCTCATTAGTTATAATTCAAGTGTTCAAAAGACATGTATGTCTAGTGTCCTCTGCATTGGCCAGTACAGATATAGAACACTTACAAAATCTAGAAAGTAATGCTTCTATTCAACATATATGGTGACTAGAATAAAATTAAGTATGAAATCACTCAACAAAAATATGATTTGGAAAAATCCATATTTTCTATATATTTATGGGTAAAGGAAAAAAATCACTGTAGATATTGAAAATACTTAAAACTGACAAAAATGAACCTACTATATATTAACATATAAAGGAGTCAGCAAATTAAAATTATGGCCCTAAATGCACATATTAGAAAAAGAATACAAGCTGAAATTTAATGAGCTCAGTATTCAACTTTTTAAGTTAAAAAGTGAATACAAAATGAAATTAAAAATACAAGAAATAATAGAGATGCACAAAAAAATAAGAAAATAGAAAAGAAAGACAAAAAGAGCTAAACAGAGATACAATAAAGAGGAATAGATATTTAGAAAAAGAGGCAAACAAAAAAGCTAAGACAATTCTTTTTCTTTATTTAAAAAGGAGATGGCAGGAAAAGATGACAGTTTAGTGCAAATATTATTTTTCTAAAGTAATACTGCACTGTTTCTGTGACATTATAGAAAAATCAAATACCCAGGTGGAATCCCAAGTATTTAAGCAACCATAATTAACAAAGACAAATAAAAAAGTGTGCACGTCTGTTTGATTTTTGATAATACTGGAGTTTTAAGCCCAATACTGAAAGGCTGTTTTCTGGGCTACTTTCTGATATTCATCTGTCCCCTTTATTTCCACACTAGCACATTCTTTGCCTTCTTTTCCAAGGTGATCAAGTTTATAAAGCATTGATTTCTCAAACAAGCTAAAGCCTAGGAAGGCTTGTTGGGGCACCTTTTGGTATGCTATTTTACTTCCTTGTCCTCATTACATGGACTGGAGAAACAAATAACCCTAAGTTTAGATCCTAGATCTATAACTTATAAATTATGGAACCTTTGACAAATTACTCATGTTCTTTGAGTCTTAAAATAAGGATGATATTGCCAACCTTTGAAGAATTTTAAATTTTTAAATTTATTCAAACTCCAGTTCATTGTAAAGTTAGGATTAGGTGGTGAGGTTACCATTTCTAGTCACAGACCTGTTTCCCAGTGTATCTCTGGGTATTATCCTCAAACACCATTCTCAATTCTGGGGGTCACCAAAGATGCTTTCTAGTTCCCTTTGTCCTTGTAGAACCTAACAGGTCTCTCTGACCACTCAAATAAAAATAATACCTGTTATATGGTCCTACAGGATCCTTATCTGAATTTTAGGTCTCCTGTAAAGATTTTGTGTATCTCTCTTTCTTGGGAAGTCCCACATTTTCCAATTCTGGATAGTATAGTTTTGCCCTCTGCCCTTTTCTTTCTAGCTTGTTTTAAAAAATTATTTAGCTCTGTCTTCCTTTATAAATGATCACCAGGTTTTTTTCCTCACTGAATAATTTTAAGTACCTAAATTTCTATGATGAGGAAAAATTCTGACTTCCCAGGGCCTGTTTTATTACCCTCATACAAAACCTCATTATCCTATAGAAATATTACACAACATCATGTTATAGAAAATGAACTAGAAGACAACCCTAGGTTCTAATCTCAGTCCTCTAGCTTACTAAATATTGACTTTTGCTAAGGTAGTTAAGCTACCGGAGACTTCTTTTTCCATCTGCAAAATAGGAATAACATGTTCTCCAAATTTAAGAGACTAAAGAGCAGATGCAATAACGCATGTGACTGTTTCTGGAAAAGTTAGCTTTATACAAGGCAGGAGATATTATCCATTCAACAAAGAGGCAGTACAGCTTAGTGGTGTAGATAAACGAATCTGGTGTTAAACAACAGAATTCAAATCTGGTCTCTAACATTTGGGAGCTCTGTCTTTTTAATATGTAAAATGAGGATTACAATACCTATTTCATGATATTAGTTCAACAATGTTATTATTATTAAATACCTACTATGTGTTAGACATTGTACAAGATGCTGGTATTAAAATGGAATCAGGACAGATAAGATTAACATATTTCCCAAAAATCTCTATCTTCTGGGGTTTTTTTTTTAGATTTGTTTATTTATGCATACAAGAACTGGGATACAGGCCAGAGGTTGGGAGGGTGGAGAGGTGAGAGGATTCACCAGAGACAGAGTGGGGAACAGAACAGGCAGATCGACTGAAATACACTGCTGAGGGGTGCAGTGGCAAGTTAGGAGAGGTCTGCTGAGCCATGTGGGTAGCTCCCTGGCCGGGGATCGAACTTTTGCTGCAGTGGCTGAGAACAGCTTCGTAGGTTGCATCTTAACCCCTTGCACCACTAGGGAGGCCCTCTCTAGCTTCTGATGCATATACTACATTTTGTAAATCATATATCCCATATATACTTTATGGCAAAGGAAAATCTGAGTAGTAAAACATTCTATAATGCATCAATATTCAGCTCCACAATTCTACTATTCCTGTTTTGTGAGAATTTCCAGTGAAGACATGGTGTCTCTAATATTTCCTTTCCTAACTCACTGTGTGAGTTAAAACTCTCTTTATGACTTCTGTGTAAACTATCTGGAACATGTTTCTATCAAATATAAATGATCTAACATAGTGTTTCTCATAACATCCAAAGACCACCTGTTTCTCAATCACTTACAGTGCTAATTAAAAGACAGATTCCTAGGCCCCATTTCAGACCTATGAAATGGTCTGGCTGGAAGATCTAGGAATATGCATTTTGGGTAAGTTCCTAGTGTATGCAAATCCCATCTGGAAGCACATTCCAGAGAGAGATAGAAAGAGAGCAAGCTATTCACTACATCAAAAACTGTAAGCAAAGGAAATAATGTAGAATAATGGTTTTGAAAGCCTCATGAAGGAGAAAAAGTTAATCCTCAGAATAAATTTTCACATGACTATGTCTTAACAGTCTGTGTTAAGAGACAACACTCAGAGATCAAGACCAATATTGACTTGGACATAATTTAACTGTGAGTGTTGAAGAACTGGTATCCTAAAGGCCAAGGGGAAGGGTTGAAAGGGAATGCTCTGAAAAAGTTTACTCCAAATTTCAGAAGAAGCAAAGAAAATGATCTTACTGCAATAGACAGACCTACTAATTTGGGGTTTAGTGATCTCAGAAAATTGAACTGCTTTCGCTTATACTCAACTTACTGCAGACCTCCCTGGTTCAACTCTCCCATCTATTGCAAACTTAGGATAATCTGTCAAATGTACACCTTGCCTACTGGGGGTTAAGTTGGTTTTGTGGCAATCAAAACAGACCAGGAGCAATATGGTCTTTGATAAAAGTAACCCAAATAACCAATTAAAATTTAATTTACACCTATTAGTCAGATGGAGAGTTATAAAAGAGTTCCCTCTGAAACACTGAAGACAATCAAGCAACTCCAAACTCCTAGTGACTATGAACCTTCCAAATAATAACAATTTTAAGCTAACGAACAAAATATTTCTCTGACCATCAAGCCACTGTAGCCTGAGCTCAGCTCTGGTTTAGATAATTAAATTCCCTAGAGGGCTTTAGTTCCTAAACATCAGTGAGTTTACAGCACAATGACTAGTAGAAATCGGGAGACCAAGGCGGAAAAAGACGCCCAACCTGCCACGCTGAGGCTCCTGGGCCGAGGCAGGAGGCGCGGGTGGGGCCGCGCTGTCTCCTGCATCACTGCGCCCTTCTTCTCCGCCTGCGTGAGCGCCGCCCACCCACTCGCGGCGTGAACCCACTGGGCCTAGCTTCTCCCTCCCCTCCCCTCCCCTCAGCCTGGTGCTGAATCATGAGCCCAATATCCCCAAAAGGTAAAATCGAAGAACAAAAGCCACTCCTCGGGCTGGTCTGAATGGGGCACCAGGTCGGGGTGGAGCAGAAGGCTGAAAACCACAACTTTGCTTCCCTCCTTCCCATATTGCCCCCCAACTCCCAAGTGTACACGGTTACTGCAGCGCTAGGGGGTTCCCAAACCGGTGTTCCTTCTCCCGAATTACCCGGGTCTGCAGCGCTCTGTCCCGGCCAGGCACGCACCGCCTCATTGTTCCAGCGCGCTGCCTGCTTGCGGGAGCCCGCGCCCCGCGGGGCAGGCGAACTCAGCTCCAGCGGACGCGGGGGTGGGAACCCCCGTCTCTGGCTCCTCGTAGCCGGGTAACAACAGCCCCTTGCCCATCCCCATCGCCTACTTGATAGCCTTTCGCTAAAGCGGAGCCGGCGCGTCCCCGGAGAGCACCAGTGGGTGCTGTCCAAATGCTGGGAGGCGGCGGCATGGGGGAGGGGTGGCGATGGGGGGCCAGAAGCTGGAGGCCCTGGCCTCGGTGAGGCTGCAGCCCTACCCCGGCAGCGCGGCTCCGGGTACGCGGAGCTGGTCTGGCTCGGCCATGGTTCCCTCGGCCCGCAGGAGCTCGGCCGTGGCCCGGCTGCCAGTCCTGGATGCTGGTGCCGGGCAGCCTTGGCCTTCCGCCTCTCCAGAAGCAGAAAGCCGAAGGGCAGTCCCCGTGCCGGCTGCGGAAATCACCATTGCTACTCACCCCAACTGTTTCTGTCCTTGCGGCTCTTGGCCATGGCGGTCCGGGGACTGGTGGCGGGGAAGCGCTGTCACTCGCTCGCTCTTCTCCCCGGCCGTAGGCTGCGGGCGGCGGGAGGGTCTGAGCCCGCGCTAGGAGCGGTTCGCTCAGACTCAGAGGATGATGCTGTGGCGCTGGTGGGAAGGAGTGGGGAGGAGAAGGGAGGAGAAAGCAGATGAACCAAGCTCAGCATCACAAAACCGAGTTCACACAAATATCAGCGTCACACCCTCCCTACCTCAGCCCACCTCCAGAGTGTGAAGACAGTGACAGGCGAGATACTGCAATATTTTCAAAGGGAAACTCTCTCTCTCTCTCTCTCTCTCTCTCTCTCTCTCTCTCTCTCTCTCTCTCTCTCTCTCTCTCTCTCTCTCTCTCTCAACAGCCCCCTCTTACATGCAAAGAATTTATCAGCATTACAAGTTACAGAAATCATAAACCAACATATGCATTATTCTGGATTTCAAATACCTGTTTTCTGGAACCGTTAAAGCATTAGTACGAACACTTGTAAACATTTTATATAGCCAAACAAGTTAAATAATCTGCATCTACCAGTTACAATTTTCTCTATTAGAAGCATGGACAGGGTCTCCCTGATGGCGCAAAGGGTTAAGCACCGCATTATGAAGCAATCGGCAGCCTCTGCAGCACGAGTTCGATCCCCGGTCGGCCAGGGAGCAACCCACATGGCGAGGGCTGCTCCCCTCAGCAGTGTATTTCAGTCAGTCTGTCTGTTCTGTTCCCCACTCTGTTTCTGGTGGATCTTCTCACCCCCCGCATCTCTGGCCTGTACCTCAGTTCTTGTAAGCATGAATAAATAAATTTTTTAAAAAAAAAATAAAAGCATGGTCATATTAGTAAAGAAGGCTTCATAGGTTTTTGTACCCTTTTATTGAACAGGCCTGTTTTTAAAAATTAGAATGTCAAAATTTAGATCAAGAAGATCAAAATAAATGCCAACTAGAATGGTCATAATCTGTAGCTAAATATCTAGTAGGCAAATTTTCCCACTGGGTTGCCGAGATAAAATCTAGTTAGAATGGCAAATTTTTGACATAGAATCAACTACCTAGTCTGTGTGAGATTTGACAGTCATAAAGGTTGTCGATGATTGTGAATAGAGAGCAAAAGGCAATATGTACTTTAAAAAATATTTTCAACTTCTCCCTTTTCACTAGTTTCTTTACACCTCCAAACTTAGTTTTCGGTATCCTAGAAATGTTACCGGGACCCAGCTGCCTCAGTGGTGGGAGCCGGCAGCAGCAGTGGTGTTCTTTCACCCCGCTCCTTCACCACAAGTCAGCTGTGGTAGTTGCTCCTCAGAGGCCAGTAACTGCCATTTTGTCCGTTTTGGCAGTTGCTCCTCAAAAATCTTTTATGTAACAGCAAATTTCCCGGATTGCAGAATGGACCAATCAGGTGCGAGCTGTGAGCTCATTGGTGCTGAAAGGCCCAATCAGCCACAGGAATGAAAAATGGCCCAATCAGGCTTGTGGGTGGGGCACCCCGAGCGAGGAGATAAGCCAGGGTCAGAGGGAGCTGAAGGAAAGACGCCCGCCCCCTGAAGTGGGGAGAGGATGCCAGTCCCTGAAGATGGTTCCAGCCTCCGAAGAAAGAAGAGGAAGACTCCCTTCGTGGCCTCTGAAGAAAAAGGAAAATCGTACGGCAGCCGACCTCCTAGGAGGGAAAAGAAGCCAAAGACTTCGGTCAGAGACTGGGCCTCTGGTCCTGTCTCTGACATTGCCTGAGAGGAGCACCAACAGCCCCGGTCCTGGTGTCTCAAAGAGTTATTAGTTGTTGGTATAACCCGACAACTCACAGAGAGCTGTTAACACTGAGTGTCACTGACACCGCTTCTGAGAGGCCAGTAGTGACCATCACTACTGGCCCCGTGCTGTCCAGCACGCCTGGTGACCGGTGGCGACCGCCTGGGTGAGACAGCTGGCCACTTGTGGACATGGTGAGCTCTTTGTTTCCCATTTGTAATATAAACCCCATGGTGGTTGTTCCTGAAGCCTGAGGTCTCTTGCAATTGTGCATGCCGTGAGAACCCACAGACGGTGACCTGCTCTCTTATTGGGCCCTGTCCTTTGTGAGGCTATTGCCCACAGACTCCTATTGTGTGGGTGTTGTATCGCGATAGCCCTTGGTTGTGGTTTTTGGCCTTTTGGTGTTTGGGGGCTTTTGGAAGGCTCTCTGGTCTCAGAGCCCAGGCAGGTGGATGGCTGTTCCATCCTTCCAACTGGCCTCTTGCCTTGTTGCCTTCGAGCCCTGTACACCCCTGTTTCAGTAACACTGTCTCTTCATGTTATTTGGCCCTCAAGATACATCGTCCCATTCCTCATACATTTGGTTGTTGCCCATACTACACCAATCAGTTCTGCCTAGAAGATTATGTTCACATCTTAATTTCCTGATCCACGACCTCTGCTTATACCTCATCAACTTCTAACTCTGTTCTCTCTATTTAACTCAAGATGGCTTTCAGACAGGACCTGCATGTTAATAACATATGTGGAATATAGAGAAAACAAATAGTCAAAACCAAACCAACAACCCTTGATATCTGACTCCAAAACTGAGACAGGGGAAGGTAGCAGGATGGGAGAGGGTGCCCGACAAAGCACGGTGGAGGATTATTGGGACTTTGGTGGTAGGCATGGTGTGAAAACATACATTTATAGATATTTCGACCTGTAACCCCTAAAACAAATACAATTATGTAACCAACTTTACCTAAATAAACATTTAAAGAAAAAAATAATATATTGGGGTGGGGGGAGATGAAAACAGTATTTATGAGGATGCAGAGATGTTCCCACACATATACTGCTGGTGGGAATATAAAATGGTACAGTCATTTTGGAAAAAAAATCTGGTAACAACTCAAAAAGTTAAACATAGCGCTGCCTTATGGCTTAGTAATTCTACTCATAGGTATGTACCCAAAAGAAATATAACTATATGTTCACACATAAAACATACAGGGAAATATTCAAAACAGTGTTATACATAATAGCCAGGAGTAGGAAACACCTAAATTCCAAATAACTGCTGAATGATAAATAAAATGTGACATATACATACACAAGAATATTATTTTGTCATAAAAAGACTAAAATATTGATACATGCTACAACACGGATGGGCCTAGAAAACATACTGAAAGAAGCCAGTGAGAAAGATAACATATTTTGTAATTCCATGTGTATGAGATGTCCAGAACAGGCAAATCTATAAGAGACAAATAAGATTAATGGTTGTCTAAGGCTGCAGAGGATGGGTGGGAGGCAGGGGGAAAGTTGGGGAGTGTTTACTAATGAGCTTGAGGACTCTTTCTGGAGTGAGAAATGTTTTAAAATTTATTGTGAAATCAATGAGCACAACTCTGTGCATACGCTAAAAATTGCTGAATTATACAATTTATTGGTGAATTGGTAACTTGGTGAATAAGGCTGTTTTTAAAAAGACAAGTTCTTTTATACCTGAAGGAGTTAGAAAAAGAAGAAAAAGCAAAGCCAAAGAACAGTAGAAAGAGATAATAAATGTTAGAGTAGAAACAAATGAAATAGAGGTTAAAAGGACAATATTCATTGGATCGATGAAACCAAGGAATGTTTCTTTAAAAAGATACACAAAATTGACAGAGCTTTAGTGAGACTCAACTAGAAAGAAAGAGAAAAAACTAATAAATAAAATCAGAAATGAAAGAGAAATTACAACATAACAAAGAAGTACATGTGGACATTCATATGACAACAAATTGGATTCCCTAGAAGAAATGCATACATTCTTAGAACCATACAACCTTCCAAGACTGCATCAGGGAGAAATAGAAAATCTGAAAAGGTCTATCATTGGTAAAGAAATTGAAACAGTAATTAAAAGTGTTCCAAAAACAAAAGTCCAGCAACACATGGCTTCATTGGTGAATTCTATAAAACTTTCAAGAAAGGTCTAATACCTATCCTTTATAAACTCTTCCAAAACACTGAAGAGGAGGGAAATATCTTTTTTAATTTAAATTTTATTTTTATATTCCCATACAATTGCACCCCATGGGAGGGAAATATTTCTAACTTATGTAAAGAGGCCAACATTTCTTTGGTTCCAAAAAAGCAAATTTATGTTTATTTTAAATTAGAAAAATATATAAAAAGGCATTCTTCCATTGGACTTTAGTACTATAGATCCTATTCTTCTTTACTCTTCTGGGATATTATACCATAGATTATTACTTCTCACCTGTACTCTCAATTATACTTTTCCATTGATCATTTACTATGTTCATCTCCTCCATCATAAGAAAAGGGTTTGCTCAGTCAAGAGTTTCTCAATAGTTGATGTGTCAACTTAAAACCTCTTTTCATAACTAGCAATCCTAAAAAAGTGCTTCTATTGGGCCTCCCCGGTGGCGCAGCGGTTGAGCGCTGGGTTGTGAAGCTGCCTGCGGCCTCTGCAGCGCCGGTTTGATCCCCGGCTGCTCCCCGGCCACCAGAGGAGGGTCCCACATGGCGCGCAGACCTCTCCTGCCGCCCGCTGCTCCCCTCAGCAGTGTACTTCGGTCCTTCTGCCTGCTCTGCTCCCCGCTCTGGCTCTGGTGAATTCTCTCACCCTTCCGCGCTTCTGACTGTACCCAGTGCATGTATAAACAAAACAAACAAACAAACCAGCAAACAAATAAATAAAGCATGCCTCTATAAAAAAAAAAAGTACTTCTATCAGTGAGAATGCTCTTGGCTGTAACTCAAAATGGCTTATCCACATTTACTATCATATAAGGACATTTACTATCATATAACAATTTGAAGACAGTTTGTTTCTATGGTCAACATCAGCTCAACATCATCATGACTACATTAGCTAGGGTAAAGATTTCATTGCTGTAAAAAACATTTACAGTGGTTTAAAAGAGACCAATATTTCATTTTCATGAAATAATCACAACATAAGCCATCCAGGGCTAATATGATGGCTTCAAAATGCCAAGGAAACCAAACACCATCCTTAACTTGGGGCTTCCTTTAACAAGAGGACTACATCTAAGATGACTGCTCTAGCTTGGGTATTCACATCCACATTCCAGCCAGGTAGAAAGGAAGGAAGGAAAGAAGCAGATAATCCATTCTAAGGTCGCAACCCAGAAGTTGCACATTATCACCTCTACTCAAATACCATTTACCATTTCCTACCTCTCATGGTACCCTAAATGGCCTCTGCCATTCTAGTCATCAGAGGGAGATAGTCATGCCTAAAGACAGAAAAAGGCATGTCTAAATCTTGTGTATCTTGTTAAAGGTGAATAAGCTTTCCTGGAAGAACTCCAGTGCACTTTCCCTCTGTGTCATTATCCAGAATTGACTAAGCCTAAACCATATCTTTAACAAAAGGAATAAGTCTAAGTCAAGGTTTATATTCTAGGATTGAGGAGAATATTAGTCTCCTCTGACAGACATGATTACTTGAAAAATTACGGTTGTGATAATGAGTGGAGAAAGAGGAGAGAGGAAAGCCCAAGTGACCATTCTAGCTTCCATTTTCCCTTTTATACTATTACCATCTCTGGTGAGGTGACCCAAATTTTACTCCCGTACATATGATCCAAGTCCTTAGTGTTCTTTTTTTTTTTTTTTCTTCAGGGAACATTGGTTTACATTGTTGTTTGTGTTTTAGAAGTTTAGGATCTCTCTCTTCTGGTACTATTACTACATAGCACCCACCACCAAAACACCCATAGTCCATGTGCTCCCTCCCCACCTTGCTACCACAGTCATGAAATCATCTGATTAGTTTGATGGAAATTGAAAAGAGGGTTACATTCTAGGTTTCAAGTCAATAGCTATATTCCACGTGCTAAGGGTTGTGTTGACTTGCTCTAGTAAAGATTCCACACGTGGAACTACAAATATGATTGCCCATCTGAATACATTTTTAAACTTTTAACAATCCAGACATTCCCCCAAACTAACTTGGCTGTTGTATGAGTTCAAAGGGAAATACATATCTTTAAGAGCTTTAATGGTAACACTAACTTCTGTAATTCCCCCACTGAGTTTCATTTTTATTTCTCTACTTTGACAGAGAGGAGGGATTAACTAGGGAGGTATCACTTGACCCTTCCAATCACAATAGCCCTTGCTCCATATATACCTAATATAAGAATTATGCTACTAGATGAATTTATTGTCATATATATTTTGGGTCTGGAAAAATAACCCCAGAGGACTCTCCAGGCCCACTATACCCAGAGTGAATATAGGATAAGTGACAATTGTCAGGATTTTCCACCTTCCCACCATTAGCATTAATGATAGACTCCTGTGGTCCTACATGTGTGACTGATGCGGACTTCCGGAGTAGGGTGTGGGCATGCATAGGTGGGCACACCTGGGCTGAGAGAGTGGGTATATAAGGGCAGCATCATGGGGATGCCAGTAGTAGCAACGGCAGCAGAAGCAGCAACAGAGCAGCGGTGATAGCAGAGAAACAGAGACCACGAGAGAAAGCAGAGAGCCCAGAAAGAGTGAAGACTTGCTGGGGGCTCGGAGGTCTGCCAGCATCCTGACCCCTTGGCCCCCCGGCCTGCCGTGTACCTGGTGGCCACACTACAAGTGATGTAAAAAGCTCAATAAAAGCCTGAAAAAGCCACCAAGGGCTCCAGGACTCCCCTTAACCCATCTGCCCAATCATAGAGATCCTTCTGTGTGCCTTGCTAGCACTACACAGTGTATTTATCTGAATGAAGGCTGCACTTGACTTTGTAACCACTCTGATCACTGGAATTTTGGTGGTATTTTGAGACTGCAAGGATTAGTGTCTGTTAACTTCCAGAAGGTTTGGGAAGTTCCCATTCATCAATTCAGAATCACTCAGGTAAAAGGTAAAAAAATGCTCTGGGAATTACCTCAGGAAAGATTCACTGTTTATAGCTGGCTGCACAGCAGGATCCTTCCTGGAAGGAAGATGTCCTCCCGATTACTGGAGTCCAGGTTTGTAAACTGACCTAAGTATAGGAACTGGGTAATAAGTCTTGGATCTCATTGCAGTGACTTGAACTAGGTTTCTGCTCATCAGACCTAGAATTTTTTTACTTATAATATGCATTCAGTTCTTGGATGATCTCTGAACTGTCTTAAATTTCATCAGCAAACAGCTTTTTAAAATAACTGTATTTCTTCATCAATGAAGAACTTCCCTGATAATTTTTAGAACGTTGGAAAGAAAATAGCTTGACTTACTCTTACTACATTAAATATTGAATTACTGGTATAAACAACAACAACAAAGATGAAAAACTTGACTTACTCTATCTTAAATATAAATTTACTGGTATAAACCAACAACAAAAAAAAAGATGAACTATTTGGAAATCCAAATCATAATGGTGACAAGTGACTTTCAACATTCAATTGCATTCAATTGATTTATATATTAAAGATCTGTAAAGCAGTTACAACTAATTTATGTTGGAAGATTCATCAGGAGGTTACATAGTTTAAGCCTATATGAAACATAAATGAAAGTTATTGCCCTCATGTTCTGCTCTGCTATACTGGAAAGTTTTATTAGCCATTTGTCTTGGATAGTAAATTGCTAACCTTACCTATGTAAAAGTTAAACATGTCTCAATTTTTTTTTTATTTAGCCTTGGCTAAGAATGAAATCAGAGGCCACAAATTACAACTGGCATTTTACTAAAGAACTTTGAAAGAACTACAAAGAACAGAGCAAACCATTATAGGTTATGTGGATTAAAGTGGAATACACTGTATATTTTTATGGAAATTGAATTTTAATTTCTTTACCAACTATGCAACATTTACCCCATCAGTTATAACTTCACTGATTGTTTAAATTAATTCAGCAAATATTAAAAAAAAAATCTTTGGACTACCCTGGTGGCGCAGGCTGTTGAGCACAGCACTATGAAGCTGTACACAGTCTCTGCAGCACAGGTTCGATGCCCTCCCGCTGGGGAGATACCCACATGGCCTGGCAGACCTCTCCTCTCTTGCCCACTGCTCCCCTCAGCAGTATATTTCAGTCAGTGTGCCTGTTCTGTTTCCTGCTCTGTCTCTAGTGAGTCCTCTCACCCTCCCACACATCTGGGCTATACCCCGGTTCTTGTATGCATGAATAAATCTTTAAAAAAATATTTAAAAAAATCTTTTAGATTCTTTTGGAGTTAGCATAAAGCAAGTGGTATTTTCTGTATATGTATTGTTGTATAAGTAAAATAATGATTATAGCAGACATACTGTTTAATCACCACATAGAATCTCAACTTTTTTCATGCTGTCCACATCTGTGTGGATGGTGAAAGCACGACTGGCTACATAAAATATCTGCACGCCAAGGTCTCATTGAAGCCTATGACATCAAACTTTTTATTGCTGAATCTATATCCATATTGCCAAGCACAACCATAATCATTGTGTTTAAGACAACACACTTGAAGGATTATCAGAGGACATTTATCCTCATCTCAAACTGCGAGTTCAGAGTTTCCAGTTTGTGAAGGTTCATGAGGTGAATCTTTCTAAAATCTTAGTATTAGGAAAAGTTGTACTTTGCTCTCCATCAATTGGTTCATTGTGGTCTCAACTCTATATAAAGCCCCTGCTGTAGCCAATTCATTGCATTGTTCCAGTATCCTCTTTTCTTTTTTTTTAAGACATATTTATTTCCTCATTTACTTATCCTTATCTTGTTTTGTATTATATAGACTTTGCTGCCTTAAATTCTCTGCTGGTAAGAATAAAATTCAGACTCGAGAAAGGATGAATGATTACTGAGTCAAAATGAAAAAATGAATCTATAATAGTAAACAAGTATTAAGATACCAATAGAACATTTGAAAAAATTTTGAGTGACTGAAGCCAAAAGTATGTGCCCACCAAACCAAGTGCCAAAAAGCTTTGAAAGAAGAAACTGTTCTTCAACCATTTTTTTTCAGTGCAGCAAACACATAGGCTTTGTCCATAAGTCTGAGCTTACTTATGTCCCTAAAGAAGTGCCCTTTGTGCATAGAGCACAAGAAAATACATATATTCCCTGTCCTGGTAAGGTGTGAATTTAATTTCTACATTATACAATTGAGTAGAGTGGTCAACAAAGAAGTATATTGCCCAATAACAAAATTGATTGGATGCTCAAAGTCACATACACCATCTCTAAGTTGCTCTTTTGTGATTTTTCAGTCACTAAATGCAGTGGCTGCGTGTTATCTGGCTTTTCTGTTCAAAGCTCTGTTGGGCTCTAGAAATAACTTTGCCAGGATACATACATCTGGCAACTTGATTTCTATCTTCAGAACAAGGAAACTGAAGCTGTGAAACAACTTGTGAAATACCAGGCAAATTGCTTCCCTGAAGTCCTGCCCAATAATCTATACATTGTGAGCTATCTTAAAGCCTCTTATGTTTGATAACCTTCTTGATAATCCCCCAAATTGTTTTGTAAACACTTTCTTGGGTGTCACATGTAGATCCTCTTCAAGTCGCAGGCAAGGATACCGAGATACTGCCAAACTCGATGTCTCGTCTCAGGGGTAGAGTCAGAACCAGGTTGTGGTCTCTGACTTGTTTTGGGCTCTGCAAAAGTCTTGATCCATGAAAGGTGCAATATCCGCGGTGAGAGACCCCGTGGACCCAACAAGGTCACTGAGGCTTCCCGGGAATCCAGGTTTTCCGAAACATCTCTGGAAAACTCAGTAGAAGACAGGTTGTGCAGGTGTGCCGTGCAGTTTCAAACTGGTACCACTGGGAATGGTTTGCAAAACAGGAAGGTGCAGTAGGGTGTGGCGCGGCTTAGTTAACCTGGCACTCCCCCACCTCCTTCCCTGCAGCCCCGCGGCCAGGTTACTTCTGGCCCTGTGCCCTCAACGTACCTTTTCCGTGTTGAACTAGGCGAATTGCGTTCCAATCGCCCTCGTGCGCACCTTCTCCCTCTACCCGTCACCCTCTAAGTTTACCTGACGACTCTGGGGACGGTTTCGCCGAGGCCCGTCCCCCCTCGCAATCCCAGGGGCGTCCCTACCCTGACAGGGTGCGCAGCGGAGTCCGGGCCCTGAGAGGACGCGGCCGGTCGGGGGGCGCGGCGGCCCGGCCGGGAGGGTGTCGTGTCGCGACCAGGCCTCAGGGCGGCACTCTAGTCGCGCGGCCGGTGCTCTCGGACGGGCCGCTGGGCGCCGACCCACGCTGACCGGGAACGTGTCTCCCGGTGACGCAGCCCGGGTGGGGAACGTGGTGCGGCGGCGGCGGTACGCGCCTCTGCCGCCTGCGAGAGGACGTGCGGCGCGGCGGCCGGCGGCGGCGCAGGATCCGGAGCGGCCGGGGGCGCCGGCGGAGAAGTAGGTCCCGGCAGCGGAGCGCAACAAAGAGCGGGGCCGACCCCCGCAGGTACGGAGCCGGCCGGGGGCCGGGCGGGCGCGCAGGCCGAGCGGGCTGGTCGCCGGCGGCCGGGGCGGGGAGAGGCCGCGGCCGGAACGGGGCGACGGCGCGCCGGGGACCCTGCCAGGCCCGCCTCTCCGCCGCCCCCGGCGCGGAAGGGAAGGCGCCGGGCCGCGCGGGGTCGCCGCCCGCGGTGCCGACCCGCCTTTGCTCGCCCCTCTTGCAGGCGGAGCTGCGGACCGAGGCTCCATGTTGGGAAGCGGCGCCGCTCGTCCTCGTTAGCGGGAATCGGGGCGCCGGGGGCAGAGCCGGCGGGGGCCGGGCCCTGAGCGAAGATGGAGGCCCCGCTGCGGCCTGCCGCGGACATCCTGCGGCGGAACCCGCAGCACGACTACGAGCTCGTCCAGCGGGTGGGCAGCGGCACCTACGGAGACGTCTACAAGGTGAGGCCGGCCGCGTCCCGGCGCCGTCGCCCTCGCCCCGCGCGGGGTGGCTCGGGGCCGGCCGCCTCGGGGGAGTGCGTGCGGGGTGGAGGATGCTTTTGTTACTTCGCCGTGGGGGTGGAGAGGCCGGGGTCCCGTTTACTCCATTCAGGCCACCTTCTGTTCGTTGCTGCCCTAGTCGCTGCCTGCCGGCAGAGCTACCCTTGCACTGGGCAGCCCTTTCTTTTTCTCTCCCCCGCTGGGGGTATAAAGGCCTTGTAACGCTTACTTGGGGTTTTGAAGGGAGTTCGAATCTGATTACGGACTTGCGCTTTAGGATGTTGTAAGTCTTAGCATGGAAAATGCTTTATGGAAGACGTAGACTTAAAGGAATAGTGGCATTCCAACATTTGCTTTTTAAAAGAACTTTCTTAATGAATGAACTTGATTTTAAAAGTTGTATGAAATTCTATCTCAAGCTGAACTGAACAGGGTTTGCTACTGGGTCACAGACATGCACACAAACATTATCCTGTATGGAAATATACTTTTCCTGGCAGAATTTTCATCATTTGATTCTGTTTGATGATTTTTTTTTTTTTTCTGCTTTAACAGTTCCTCTCTCTGGGATTTAATAACCTCTCATGACCCAGAGTAGAGAAGAGCTGCAGTCTTTTTAATTGTGCTCTTTGTATTACTTGAGGGTGAGTTACTCTTAATATGAATTTTTTTTTAAAAGTCACAGAGGTTAACCTAATTCCCTATATTCTCTGAGTTCTTGAGGTATCTAGAAGAGATTATTTGAGATTGTCTTATAGTTTTTGTGCTCTGTTCTAAAGAGAGAATGTTAATGCGACTCGTATGGGTATATTGATAGACATTTCCTTTAATTTTTGCAACAGCTTTGTTTGACTTTAATTATGATACATTACCCATTATTCCAGACAACACTGCATAGAGCTGAAATGACCTTGTGAGGCATGAATAATCAATCAGTAAGCTTCTCTGGGTTATGTTGTTTTGTGCAAATGGCAATATGGAAGGAAAGAAAATACCACTTTCTACTTTTCTGCTTTTGTATAAGGCCTATCCTCTGCATTAGTAAATAACAGCGCAAGGTGATGGTATTACAGTTCTTACACTGTCTGATTCTACTAAGATAGACTGTCATGGATAGGCATTTTATTCATTTGACAGGCATTTGAATCTTCTGCATTAGGCACTGTTCCAGGTATGAGTGTTGTATTGTGAGAAAGATCCCTGCTCTTGTTTTGTGAATACGTTGGAATTCAAAGTGGAGAATTATAACAGAATCTTCTTTTTCTTTATGAACTATTAGAGGTAGTTTATCTTCAGTAACTTATCATGGATTGGACATTTTATGGAGTGCTTTTTAAAAAACTGAAATTCCATTTTGCCTTCTTAGCCCCACTTTTTAATCATTTTGGTCTTATGATTCACTATGTATTAGACCAGTTCACTACAGATCATTTTACTAATACAATAGTCTAAATTCCAGTTCTTGTATATTTTCTCTTGTCCCTAGTATAAGAAAAGTTAAAAAGAATGTTTTCCCCACCAAAATCTCAAGACCTCCACCTTTTTCTTTATAGATATAGCAACTAAAGCAACTATCCTGAGCAGGGTTTTTTGTTGTTGCCAGGGAAAGCAAGGGGTTATATAAGTGGGGCAGCTAATGACTGCCTTTCACCCTGTAGCCTTCGTGCTTCTCTCTGTCTCTCTTCCACAGCTCCTAACCAGAAGACCTAAGACAATATCATGCACCGCCTTCCTCCTCTCCCCCACGTGACCCCCTTCCTTCACGTTCAAGCTCCCTCCTGCTTGTGTATGTACTCACCCATACTGAGCCAGCTTCTGACTCCTAAACATTTTTAATATATTAGGGGCTCCTTGTCCTTTATTTTCCTTTGTTCAGATTACCTAGAATTACTTTCCACCTCTATATTTCCACCTGTTATTCTGCTTGTCCATGAAAATCTTAACTCAGATGCTCCTCCACGGATGTCTCCAACTTCATACTACTCTTCCTCCTCCTTACTTCTGTTCTAGCGATGCTATCTTCTTGTTCTTTCTTAAATATACGCATCTTCCCACCTTTGGACTTTTGTTAATGCTATTTCCTCTGCTCAGAATGTCTTTCTTCAGATAGCCACATTACACCCTTACCTCCTTGCTTTTACAACCTTTCCATCATTCCAACCCCCCCCCAATGCTATTTTAATAGTCCATCTTTTTTTCCTACATATTTTTTTTCTTTGCACTTTAGCACAGATAACGTAAATGTTTTACTTACTTTTTTTGTTTATCATTAACATACTCCACGAGGGCAGGAATTCTATCTGTTTTGTTCACTTCTCTATCTCTAACCACCTAGAATTACGCCTGGCTGAGAGTAGGTGCTTTCTAAAACTGATGAATGAGTGACTGACTACCAGTAATTCAGTCTCCTAGTTCTCTGGCTTATGCTTTTTATGTCTCAGCACTATGTTAGCATTTAATATTTTATGTATGCTTGTAATGCCTATTACAATATCCTACATATTTACTTTTATTACACATTTCAATTATTTGAATTCCCTAGAAAAACATTTCTGGAGAACTATTTTATGCACATCTATTTTCAGTGTTCGAAGTCCTGCAGAATTTTGTCAGCTTATATTCTACTCTTTAGTATGCCCAAAAACATGTGACTTATAAACTCTAGTGGTGAAATTTTTAAGCTCAGGGTAGTTAGAGTAATTTTGCTTTTTATATCTGTTTCTGACAAGCTGAAAATCCTAGAAGTATTAGAAATACTTTCTTATTTACTTACTATTATTCTTATAAGCTACAGCTTTGGTTTACATTGCTGTTTGTGTGTTAGAAATCTAGGGTCTCCCACCCTCAGGTGCTATTACCACATTGCACACCCCACCAAGACACCAACAGTACACCGCTATAGTCCATCGTGCTTCCCCCATACCCTGTTTTTGCCCTTCCCTCTCCCCTTATCCCTCTGGGAGCCTCATTTCTATAGTCAGCTTTCTTCATCAGGCCTTTTAGGTTTCTCTATATTCCACATATAAGTGACGCCATCTGCTACTTGTCTTTCTCCTTTTAGAAGTATTTTCAGTCAGTGATATAAACTAATAAAATATTTACAGTGAGGAGTAATGAGCATAACTTAGTTACACCTAGTAAGATGTTAGCCATACTTTAAAAAAAAAAATACATGAGATATTTTTATGAAACGTTAGTTTTTTTTTGTTTTTGTTTTTGTTTTTTAAGATTTATTTGTTTATTTATTTATACCAGCACTGGGTACAGTCAGAAGCACGGGAGGGTGAAAGAATCCACCAGAGCCAGAGCGGGGAGCAGAGCAGGCAGAAGGACGAAGTACACTGATGAGGGGAGCAGCGGGCGGCAGGAGAGGTCTGCGCGCCATGCGGGACCCTCCTCCAGTGGCCGGGGAGCAGCCGGGGATCGAACCAGCGCTGCAGAGGCCACGGTCAGCTTTGCAACCCAGTGCTCAACCGCTGCGCCACCGGGGAGGCCCTGAAACATTAGTTTTAAAAGGACCATATACTTTGGAGATTTTTTGTGAATTAATTTCTCTGTTCTTCAAAATCACAGATCCTCTCTGAAGCTCCTGTCTTTCCTCAGAATCCCCAAGAGGGGAGAACTCAATCTTAAACTGTTTCCTGGCTGAAAGTAGAAGAACCTTGAGATTCTTTTAGATAAGTTGTGTAAATGATTGAGGACCACAGTAAATGATGCAAGGGAGGAGAAACAGAGAAGAAAAAGGAAATATGATGGAAGATGGATGACAGATTAAATTTTAACAGAACAAACTTTATTTGTTAATTTATTGTAAATTTTTTAATCTGCTAACAAGAGGAGGAACTATGGAGATTTAATGTATTACCTTCTGTCTACAGTGTTCTAGACAATGGTAATATCATGATGCAGTTCATAGTCAACAGGTTAAGCCATTTGGGTAGTCTTTATACAAATAATTATATCAAAATTGTTTCTAGCCTAGAATCTAGACAAGTTCTAGGTATCTTTCTTGCCTTTTGTGGGATATAAATTTAAAATGGGCAATCCCATGTATTTTTTATACCCATATTGCTTTTTCTAATTGATTATTATTGATTATTACATTTTTCTGATTGAATGTTACATATCAGCTCCGGGGGATAGGAACAGATATCTCTTACTTGAGAGATAGATGCTCAGTAAATATTTGTTGAATGACATTAGTTGTAGAAATTACCCTGAAATAAGCACAGTTAGT